GAGGGGAAGAAGGGAGAGGGGAGGGGGGGCGGAGGCACCGGCGGCCAGGCCTGGTCTGGAAGGAAGGGCCTCTCAAATGCCCAGGTCCCCACAGAACATCACCTGAGGGTACCGCTGGCAGAGGAGGTGCCCCCCACACCCCCGAGTTATTCTGAGGGTCCTGAGCCTTAGGAAGCTCTTGGATGACGGGGTTATCAACACCCCATCTGGTCCTTATTAGGGTCCCGACTAAAGCAGGAAGGAGCCCACAGTTACCTCGTCGGTCCAGGCATATTTGTCCTTGTGATAGGCCTTGGGGCGCGGCAGCGGCTCGGGCTCCTCCTCCAGCAGCTTCAGCGTGTCCAGCAGCTCATCCAGGGTGGCCCTGGACTTGGCCCTGCTCCCGACAAGGTCCACCGTCTCGGGGGCCTTGCCGGGCGCGTCCCGGGAGCTGGCGTCCTGCAGCAGACAGGTGGGTGAAAGAAACTGGTGAGGTCATCAGAAGCCGACACCACCCGAGAACTGGGGGGAGAGAGAGGCAGGGCGCCCACTCAGCCACATGCACCGGGCTCGCCCGGACCCACCTCAGGGACACTAAGGGCGGCCGGGTGGGATGTGTCCAGGCCTGGCCTCCTCACCCCTCAACCTGGTGGCCTTGCCATCCCCTGACCTCTGAGTTTCCAGCTTTCTCTGTGGGCTCGGACATGGCTCTACCCCAGGGCATCTATCTGTGACAACCCCACGAGATCCCAGAGGCGTCTGTGGGACCCCTTGCCTGGCGGAGCAACAAGACCCGTCCTGGGCGACCTTTCCCGGCGTGAGTGACCCCACGGCTGTGGAGGGGCAGTGACAGGGCAGGGCGGGCTGAGACCAAACCTGCGGCTTGTCCTTGGAGAACTGCCGGGGCTCCGGGGATGAATCGGGCACCGGCTGCTGGGGCTCTTCTGGGCCATGGGCATGGAAACTGGCCCCTGTGCAACACAACACAGCGTCAGCCGTCTGGGCGCTGCCCGCTCGGGGACCACAAAGCTGGAGCCCTTAGGAAGGGGCCAGGCACGGCGGACTTCATGCAGCAGAGGGGACACTGGGAGCCCTGACTTTCCAGGTGAAAGGTCAGGGAGCATTGCTTAGGACCCTGTGTCCGGCTCCAGGGGACACGGGGCAGGAGCGGAGGTGCAGGCCTGGGGTCTGCTGCACAGCCGAGGCCCCTCCTCACGAGGAAAGGGGGACACCAGCTGGGCAGCAGCAGCAGGGGTCACAACCCTCCCAGAGGGACAGGAACGAAGCGTCCGCCCACGGAGCCTCTGGGCTCCCCGCTCACCTGCGCTATTGGCCTTGCGGGTCTGGTGAGGCGCAGCCCCCAGCCTCAGGGGCAGCTCCTGGGCCGGCCGGGACTTCCCTGGGTCCTGGGTCCCCTTCGGCAGCCCAAGCTCAGCATCGCCTGACTTCTGGGCTCGCTTCTGCTGCAGCTCCTGCGGGGGGGCCCTTTAAGCAGTCTCGCCCACCCTCCCCAGCGAGCTGCCCAGTGTCCAGTGGTGGGGGGACGGCAGTGGGCAGGCCCCCAGGGGCACGCTTGTGCTCTCAGGGACACGGAGGTCCTCCCCGAGCGGCTCAGGGCACCCCGGCACCTGAATGGCTGCTTGTCTGGCCTGGCGCGCCCTCTCCTCCCGGAGCTTCCTCCTGGCCGCCTCCTTCCGCCGGTGCAGGTCCAGGAGGTCCGCCCCTCCCGGCCGCTGCCGCTGGCCCTGTGGGAGCCACAGCCATGCGGGTTTGACTGGGAAAACGGGGTCACCGACCCCGTGCTGCTCCACAGCACCCCCACCGTCCCCCAACCTGCCATTTCTCTGCCCCAGAAAGGATGAACCCCCTCACAGGCGGCCAGCGGCTCCCTCGGGCAGGGAGATGGCTCTGCATTGCAGAGCAGAGGCCCGGAAACCAGAAACCTGCCCGGGCCTCTCAGCTGGGGTGGACCCGGCCCCTGGGCCCTACTGACAGAGCGGCTCAGGGCAGGGAGAGAGCTCGGCCCCCGACGGGGTGTGGACACGGGCCATTGTAGTTTGGATCCCATGGTCCCAGAAACCCCTCCGTATATGCTGGGACCCCTGGGCTCCCGCCCGCCCCCCAGCTGCGGCTCCCACTCTCACACTGACCTGTCGCTTGGACGCCAGCAGGCACTCCAGGCTGGCGGCTCCAGCTCGGCGCCGCTGTGCCTGGTGCCGGTACCAACGCTGGATGGTGACGGCGGCCTGGTTCACCTGGTGGATAAACCTGCCCAGAGAGCGGACTCAGGCCCGAGGCGGGCCCCGTGCCCCCGCGAACCAGCTGGGTCCCCCAAAGGCCCAGCCGGGCAGAGAAGCCAGCGGCTGCACGCACGGCCCTTCCTCAGATGGCCGATGTCCCCCGTGACACAAACTACTCACAATCACCAGAAACAGGAAATAACCCCAGGCCGCCACCTGTCTGTAGTGAACACTGTCTGTGCCAACGGCAGATGCTGCTCGCGGACAAAAGGCAGCAAACAGACGTGGCTGGCACGAAAGGCTAGTCGTGTGCTCCAGGCACAGAGCATTCTAGAAAAGGCAAAGCTGTCGAGGCACAAATCGGTGTGGCTGTGGTCGGGCCTGGGGAGGGGCTACATAAAAGGCTGCGAGGGACCCTTGGGGGAGGCGGGCGTCTGTGCCTTGGTACCTGTATTCTGGAAACTCGACTGCACGTGTGTCAAAACTCACCCACACGTGTGTCAAAACTCATCCACGTGTACACCTGACATGGGTGCGTTTTATTGTATATAAATTACACTCAGTCAAGTGGATCAAACAAGAGGCCTTAACCTTGGCCCTCAGGACCACCTGTCAACTCATTGGGCAAAGGTGCAAACGGAGCACCCAGGACATAAACGGCTGCCCGCCATGGGACATGCACGCAGGGGACCCTCACGCTCAGGAGTGCCCTCCACCGAGGGGCCTGTCCGCCACTGGGGGCAGCTGGGTGGGGCGAGTGGAGCTGCTGCTGCTGGCCTCACCCACCTTCTCCTCCCACCCTCCCCTTCCAGGGCCCCGTCCCTGAGCTCTAAGGGGACAGCAGGTAGTGACCCTTCAGCCAGATGGAGACCCTCCAAACCCCCAGTCCGAAAACAAGTGGTTCCTGACCAGGCGTGACATCACAGACTCGGGGCCACAGCACAAGGCCCCACCCATGCCCCGCTCCCCTGGGGCAGGCTTCAAGGGCCTGTCCCATAGGTCGTTTTCGGGTTTTTCAGTTTTATATATTCTTTCACTTAACGCTTTTTTAACTAACAATTTTGCTGCAGCATAACTCACGTAAAGTTCACCCATTTTGAGTACACAATTCAACAAGGTTTAATACGTTTATAGAGCTGTATGAAGCAAGGAGGTCCAGCCTCAGACCGTCTCCATCACCCCCCAAAGACCCCTCTTCTGCGGCCACTGGGCCCCGACAAGCTCTGCTCTGCACCTATAGCTTGGCCTTTTCACCCTCCATATTTAAAGTCATTAAAGGGAACTTTCAATCACTGGAGCCTCAGGCCCCCGCCCGCCCCCAGCCGCGGTCACCTCTCAGCCTCCTCCTCCGTCACTTCCCTCCGTCGGAGCAGGCCCGCGGTGGCCGCAGAGTTGTTCCGGGCCCCATGGCTGCTGCTGGCCAGGTTCTTTGGCAGCTTCCCAAAGCTGCTGCTGTCACCCTCGTCGGTGGCAGCCTTGATGAGATTGCTGGCAGGGAGCAGAGGAAGGTTCATGGCACCTGACCCAGCCCCGCTCGTGACCCCTGGGGCACAGCTCATGGGCACAGGAGGAGGCACCGCAAGCCATCAGGAGCCATCAAGGGCTGTTCTGACTCGCTGGTCCATCCCCAGAGCCACCTGCTCCCCCACAGGGCCTGTCTGATGGCACCCTAGGTTCACAGGCTCCTCGCATTTAAAAAGCAAAAAGGTCTCTTAGACAGCATAAATACGTAACTACAATATTGCCACAGGGACATGAAAGACAGTTCAAGGAATATAATTAATAATGTTGTAAATATTTTGAAGGGTTTCAGGTGGTCACATGTCTTGCTAGGGAGACTACATCATGGATGGGGTAGCGACTTGATCACTGCACTGTACACCTGAAGCTGATGTTGTATAATATTGTATGTCAACTATAAGTGCATATATATACATACATATATATATATGGTTATGGGACGTGGAGTATAGTGTGGGAGTGGAGGCAAGGGAATTATAATAGATACGTATGATATTGGGGGGAAGTGGGGTGGCAGATTGGGGGAGGGAGGTTGTCACCTCGAGGGATAAAACGTGCAACTATTGCACTGTGTTGTACAGCTGAAACTAATTTAAAAAAATGTGTATTTCATAATAAAAAATAATTAAAAGGGGAAAAAAAGCAAAAAGGTCTCCAAAGTCACAGGGTCCCAGAACCGGAAGGGGCCTCAGGAAAGCCCGTGGCCGTCCCTGACTGAGCCCATCGGGCGGTGGGCTTGGGTGACGTGCTCAGGGCTGCTGTGCTCAGTGCCAAGCTCCGCCCAGCCCCGCCTTGCTCTGGACTTGGCCAGGGGCCCGAGACGTGGGGCGGCTGTGGCTTTCTGAGCAGCACGCCAGCCAGGTCTGTCCCCACTCGACCCCTTGTCCCCTGCTCACGCGTACACCGAGGCCAGAGCCAGGGCCTTACTTGAGGGAGGGCGCTGTGTGGTTGGAGCTCTTGGGGGGCGCTGTCTCTGCTGGGGCATAATGGTTGTGCACCATGGTAGTGACGCAGTTGCCCACGGCTCCCTTGTTGCTCCTGCCAGAAGGGACGGGAAGTGGCATCAGGCTCTGGGAGGCAGAGAACAGGTGGCTCTCGGTGGCAGTGCCCACTGTGGTGTCGGCCAAGCATCCTCGCCAGGCCCCCGGCACGGCCACTGGGCCTAACGGTGGGGCCCGTCTCGGCACCCGGGAAAGCTCTGAGCTGTGAGCACTGAAAACCATGACCCCTGACACTGGACATGCCTACGATGGGGAGAACGGTGACAGATCAGCCGATGGAGACAGGACTTTCCACACCAGCGGAAGGTGGTAGACGGAATACGCTGCTTTCTGCCTGCCCCTCTCAAATCCACTGGAAGGAATAAAACCAGTATAAACACACAAGGACGAGGGGGACACAGATAGAGATAGCAGCAAAGAGATGCCCACACAGCTTCAGAGGATGCGGGACAGTGACACACAGTGAGAGGAGAACCCTGGGTGCTGTGGGGGCCGGCGCGAGGGGGCTCGTCTGCCCCCCGAGCCCCAGGGAGGTGCAGGCACCCAGCTCTCCAAAGGAGCCACTGCACCCTGGCCCCCCTCCTCCGCCAGCAGAAGACGAGGGGCTGGCTCTCCAGGGGGCAGCCTGTGCCCTGAGCCAGGCCCCCTCCACCTCCTCTCCTGTCCCGGCCGGCAGACTAGACCATCCCTCCCTAGACAGACCGAGCGCCCCAGGGAAAAGCCCAACACTGATGGTGGGAACCCCCCATTACAGCAGCCTGGTCTGGGCCCAATCTTCCCAAAGTGAGGCCCCCCAGCAGCTTTTAGGGCCTCCCTCTTAATTCTGACGGAGCCAGGACTCCACGTTTGAGACGTGAAAGGCCAACCAATGGAAACGAGCCCAAGTGAACAGAGCATTTCAAAAACCTGCACCAGTGCCCGGCTATGCCCATCAATGCTAAGAGCAGCTCTATTAGCTGCGGGGGAGGGGCACTCTTATCTAGGGCGAATGTCCATGGTGTGACGTCCGCCATGCGAGGCACAGCTGGGGAGAGGGGAGGATAGCAGGCCGCTGCTTGGCGTCCCCAGAGAGAAGAGCAGACCCAAGAACAGGATGACGGGAACTGGGGCTTTCGAAAATGACAACTGTGGGAGGAAAGGCTTGCAGGACACAGGTAAGTCGACTTATCGGAGAGCAGACCCCAAAGCTAAAGAGACAGAAAATATGAGAAGATGCGGAACTGGCAGAATCAACCCAGGAGGCCCACCACGCAAGTAACGGGAGTCACAGACAGAATGAAAAACGGGGAGAAAGTTGTCAAAGCAACGACAAGAGAACATTTCCTATTAGTGAATGACACTGCAAGGCCGCCACAGCCTGGCGTGGAGGCTGAGAAAGGGTCACATCGCAGGCCCAGCATTAGGAGAAATGAGGACACGCCAAAACGCCTCCAGAGAGAGGAAAACACCAGACACGTGAAAGGACGGGGTGGGAAGGCAGCGGCCTTCTCAACGGCTCTCCATGCAGGCGGGGCAACGCTCCCAGGCGGCTAAAAAGGTCTCCAACCTGGAACGCAGCGGCCGCCAAACTCTGAGTTGGGTATTTTCAGACACGCAGTCTTAGAAACTACCTCCCACGTTTCCTTTCCCAGGAATCTACAGGGGCGCGCGCTCCACCAAAGACAGAGGAAGCCAGGGACCCCCCACAGAAGGGAGGGGCAGTCGAGGGCCGGATGAGAGTGTGTGGCCTGTGCAGGGCGGCCAGCTTGGACCCTGACAGGGGAAGACAGGGCTCCGAGGACTTCTCCAGAGGGAGGACGGGCAGAGCACCTGCTGGCCTGACGGTACGGAGGGCAGTTCTGTTGTCATCTCTGGGAGAAGCGCCCAGTACACAGACAGCCAAGTCGGAAAAAAAAGATCATTAATTCTGGGGAACACTGAAGTGTGACTCAAACGTCAACACTTCTTGAGCATAGCGCTGCTCTCAGAGGCTCATGCCTTAGCTCGTCTGATCCTCCTGACACTGGGGCCACACAACCATCACCCCCTTAGCATGAATGAGGTCCCTGGGGCCCTGGGAGGCTCAGAATTCAGAGCAGGCAGAGCTGGAGCTGGTCCGTGTGGAAGCACAGCCCAAACACAGGCGCTGACGTGACCACGTTGGGACACGGGCAGGGGAAGGGTGCGCTCGTGTGCAAGGCTGGGGCGGGGGCTCAAGACAGCAGCCCCATCCTCCATCAGCACGTCTGAGGCCGAAAAATCAGTCAGTGAGCTGCATTCGCATATTTTGATGCACGTGTTCTAGGAAAAACTAGAAGCTGGTAAGTGGCTGCTTCTGGGAGCAGGACTCAGGGTGGGGAGGTGGGGTGGCAGGACTTCCTGCCTTCATGTCATGTGTGTGGTGCTGTCAGGCTTTTTAGCTGTGTGCATGTATCGCTCTGATAGAAATTAATTTTTAGGTTCTCGCGTGAAAAGCCAGCATTCTGCCTTTGGGGACTGTGGTGAATGACTGTGGAACCCCTCAAAGACGTCCTGTGAGAAACAGCTCCAAGTGCTGGGAGTCCTCGCTTGTGTCCACACAAATGTGTCTCCTCGTCCCCCTCCTGCCGTCCCCACTGAGGCCAAGAGCGAGGACAAGCTTCCTCAGGGGCGGCCGTCCCGAGCCTGCTTTCTCTCGGGGCTCCTTCAGGCCCCACCCACCCCCGCGGTTCCCTGACACCAGCCTGTCCAGCGAGGCACAGCCTGCGGGCCCTCTCCTGACCCTGCCATCTCGGCTCTCACTCTGGACGTGCTTTGTCATCACGTCACTGTGGGCACAGCTGAGATGTGACCAGTGCAGCTGGGTCATGACTGGCTCTCAGCTGACAGGGAGCCCGAGGTGACACACTCCTCACTCCTGAGATGTGGGAAGCTGAGCCTGAAAGAGTGGCCCGCAGCCCGCAGGAGGGCACCCCGTCTGGGCTTCTCCAGGAAGCACAGGGCCGCTCGTGAGGCCGACACCACCCTGCAGCCTCCTCCCTTGGCCCTCAGGTAAAGAGACCGTCATTCACTTACTTATTCATTCCCTCACTCAACAGCACCCCGGTCTGGCCACAAACAAGACACAGAGACCCCCACCCCCAGCTTCGGGGCAGGGGCGGGGGTCATGCCCGGCACCCGCAGCGGGTCGCACCTGTTGTTGGCAGTGAAGCTGGGTGCCAGGGGTACGGCGCACTCCCTCCTCTGTGGACCCACTGGTGCGTCAAGGGTGCTGGGGCTCTGGGTGTCGGGGGGCAAGGTGAACGTCCTGGGCTGGTCATCCTGTCGGTGCACAGACACCGACTCAGCGGTGACCCCCCAACACACCACACCCCGCAGACACGGAGCCCCTCCCCTGCCCCCACGGCTTCACCCACAAACAGGGTGACGATGGCCCAGGGGCTCCGCCTCACATTGCAGTGCATGCTGGGAGCTGGGACACGTCCGCCCCACCCCAGGCTCTTCCTGCAGGGGCCACAGAACAGGGCAGGAACCAGGTGTCACTCCCAGTGCGACACTGACGCTCACGCCGAGCGCTGCGACCCAGCCCCCGCTCTCACCAGGACGTTCCACGTAGCTCCCTCCTTGCTGGAAGCTTTGCTCAGACTGTCTGGCCTCTTTCTCCCTCCAGGGCTGCCCTCAAAGAGCATCAGGAAGTCGGGGGGCTCTGCCGGCCTGTGTCAGAGAGGACAGCAAATGGGGACGGTCACTTGGCCCAGGACACTGACTCCAGGGACACAGATGGGGACATCTTACAAGGGGATGGGAGGGCCAGGCCACCAGCAGGGAACTCTGTTCTGGAGACCGAAGCGTAAAATAATGTTTTTTAGTCCTGATCTGACAACCACACCTGGAAGAGGCATTCACACCCCCTCCCGTGGCCGCCCCAACACCACAGGAAAAGCAAGGACGGAAGAGGGGAGCACGTCGGCCTTGAGGCCCACACCTCCACGTGCGCGTCCTGCCTGACCCGCCCACGACTGGCCCCATGGGAAGGTCACTTCAGGCCCTGCTGCTCAGCCGGTGCCCACACTGGTGAGTCAGGAAGGGCCGACAGAGAGAGGCAGGAGGGCAGCAGGCAGGGGGTTACCTGAGGGGGCCGCTCCACGCCTGGTTGGCTTGCGGCTGGTGGACCTGCGTGGTGCTGTTAGATCTGCGAAGGTTATTGATGGCCCGGGAGCCGCCAGGCCCTGTGGCCTCCTGCACAAAGGGGGAGAGGACCCCCACGGCTGAGGTTGCAGACAGCACCTGTGCACTCGGGGCCGGGCCAGGCCGGGCCTTGCCAAACAGATGTGGAGGGAGAGAGTGGGTGTGGAGAGAAGGCGGGCAGGAGGAACGGCCTGAGGGTCCTGGGCTTGGCCCACTGAGCCGGGGCAGGTCCTGGGCCTCCATGAGCCTCAACTTCCTAGAAAGACGTGGGAGCCCCTCACGCCTGGCTGGCGGAGGGTCCGAGAGGACGTGTGTGAGGCCTGGCCCGGAGCTGCAGCAAAGGCTGTGCGTCCCCACCATCATTCACTAACCAACAAGCCCGGCCCCCACGGCCCCCACGGCCGGCCGGCCAGCCTGTCCGCCTGGTTCCTCCAAGGTCACCAGGAGCTCAGACCCTTCCCCACAGGTCAACCCCGTTTCTTGAGGATCCAAACGAACCCAAATGTTGGTGGAGCAGGAGGGACAGGAGGCTTGTGGCGGGCGGGACCTAAGCTCTGCTCGAGCACTTTGTGAAGCAGCTCCCTAGTCCTTCCTGCCCCCAGGACGGCCACAGGGCTGAACAGGACAGTGGACACGCGTGCCTGCTGAGGTGCGGAGCTGACCCAGGTGTCAGATGCCACCCTGATGGCAACTCCCCAGGAGGTGGGGGCCCGGACACCCCGGGACACCTCAGGCTCTGGCACTCACCACCAGCGCCTTCCTCCTCGGCTCGCTGCCTGTGACTACGGAGATGGAGCGGCTGATGGGCTTGGCGATGGAGGCGCTGTTGGGGCGCCGGGACATAGGCAGAGGGAGACCCGTCAGACTCAGATCCACGCCTTCCAGGCTGCCCTCGGGGGGGCCGCTGACAGCCCGCGAGCCTTTCATGGTGGACGAGCAGGACCTGAGCAGGCACGGTGAGACGCAGTGAGACGCCCTCCAAGGAGCCGGGTCCCACGCACACCCCCCCGCTGGCCAGGCCTCCGGAAGCCCAGTGCACCTGGCCGGCCTGCCCTCGAGCTCCCTGGGAAGCCTGCAGCCCCTTATCTCAAAAACAAGGCCGTGACAGAGCAGGACTCTGCGCTACGAACAGCAAACACAAGGCCTCCGGGGACAAGACGTCCCCTCTGTGCAGGGGCCCTGCCCGCGGGTGGCCTGGGCAGCAGGCAGTCCTGGCTACGGGTTGGCTCTGCCATTTCCCCCCACCCTCGGACAGGTACGCCACCCGTCTGAGCCTCACTTTTGTCATCTGTAAAGTGGACATTTAAAAAGTGCCCCTTCACAGGGTTGTCATGATCTTCAGAAGAGACGGCCAGAGGCTGGCATGCGCTGTGACACTGTAACCAGGATTTGGTTTGATGAACACTGCCCAACCCTGGGTGCGCAAACTCATCTGGCCACGGGGGCCCCCCCATTTCCTCGGAACATCCGTGAGTTTCCAGGGTGTAGCATGTGCGCTCTCACGTCCGGGCTCCCTTCCCACACCTCCCACGCCGGCGCCCTTTGCGGTCTCCCTTGCTGGCCCCTCCTCCTCCGGACCCCTGAAGTCTGAGGGCCCCCAGGCTCAGCCCCAGGCCTCTCTCCTCCATCTACCCTCTTGCTGGGAGGAACGCCTCTGGCCCCCTGCCTTCCAACAGGGGCTGATGGTTCCCACTGGGCATACCGCCCACCCACTCTGTCCCCTAACCCATGACCCAGATGACCACCCCTGCCCCTGGCACCTCAGACCCAAGGAGGCCAAAACAGACTCTTGATGGCCACCTCCAGCGGCCCCCACCCCAGCAGTAGTTTCTGGAACTGGTTCCGGCCAAGGACCTAGCTCTCTTCCTGACCTCTTACCCTCACTCCACGCGTGGTCCCCCAGCAACCCAGTCGGGGCCCTCGCCCCGTCCGGCCAGTCCCTCCCTCCACAAGCCCAGTCTGAGTCCTGTCTCCTCACATCTGAGACCCGCAGCAGCCCCTCCGATGGCCCCTCCTGGCCAGCCCGAGCCCCTCCCCACAGGGCGGCCAGAACTGACCTTTCTGAACTGGGTCTCAGATCACCCCGTGGTCCAGCTGAAAACCCTCTGAGGGTCCCCAGGCACAGAGAACGGAGTCCAAATGCCTAGCGACCCTCAGATCTGACCCTGCTCTCTCGGCGGCCTCCTCACTGCCACCCTCTGCCCCATCGCTGTGCCTCAGCCTGGGCCGCCTGCTTCCCGGTGAGGCTCTGCACCTGCCGGCCCTCTGCCTGGACCCCTCCCCGGGGTGACACGAAGCCACCCGCACACAGAGTCCCCATCACGCTTCACTCCCTCAGCCCGCTTTATTTTTCTTCGCCTGACAACCTGACCACACAGGTTGGTCTGCGCGCTGCCTAATCCCCTCGTAAGAGCAGAAGCTCCAAGACAGGGACAATGTGGCCCCGGCACCTGGCACGCAGCGTGGCAGGCACCCAGGGAACGGAGTCGAGGAGCCAGCAGCGGGAATGACCACAGCCGGGGGGCCAGCGGGCACACACCCATCGTCACCCACACTCAGTGCTGTGGCCTCCTGGAGCCCGACACCCACAGCAGGGCCCCCTGGCCGGGGGCCGGGGGCCCCTGTTCAGAGCTGAGCAGAGGCTGTCCCTGCCGGTCACCAAGTCAACGTCCTCAGTTACGAGCTTCCGGTTGTGTGGGTGAAATTTAACACCCTCCTCTCCCCAGGCTGGACCCCTTTCCCGGCCACACAGCAGGAGCCTGTGGGGTTCTGGGATGGTAAACACAGCCTCTCCCAGGAAACCTCCAGGTAGATCTCACCTTGCCTACAAAGGTGTCCCTCCCAGGACTTGAAAACGGGTGTCCAGAGCCTCCGCCTGGACCCCTGGGGATGGTCGGACCCACGACCCCTGCAGGCTTCTCACGGGGCAGCTCCCCCATCTCCCTGGGATTTGGCTCAGGGGGGCGGGACCTGAAACTGCTCGTTGGACTCCACCTGCCCCTCCCCGGAAGGCTGACAGAGGTAACGGGCACTGGGGCATGGGGCCCTCCTCACCTGTGCACGGTGGCCCCCCACCTACACACGCCCCTCACCTGCGCGAGCTCGGCCTGGGGCGCGGGGCCTGCGGGGTCGGACGGCGTGGGGTGCGCGGGGTCCGTCCAGCTGGGACGCGTGAGGCCCAGGCTTCAGGCTGCTGACCTCGCGCCCCCGGCCCCAGCGCTGGCTTCGAGGCCCGGGTGACAATGAAGCCGCGGAACAGTCGGGCAAGCGGCGGCAGCTAGCAACCAGCAACCAGCAACCAGCCTGGCACCTCCTCCTGTGTCCGTAACGGAGGCCCGCCTTTCCTGCCCGCGCCGCTTCCGATTGGACATCTGGCTGCCCGCTTCGGCCGTCTCGGGAGCTTACTGGGCTGCTCGGCTGCCCTTCAGGAAGTTCAAGCGTGGGAGGAGCCGTGGAGATCCGGAGGCCGCCGTGGTGGCGTGCTGCCGATTGGACGTGGCTGGAGGGGGCGGGGCCTCGGCTTGTAAGGGGCGGGCCTAGGCGGGAATATAGGGAGGAGAAAGGGGCGGGGCGCGGGGAGGGCAGCGTGGAGGGCGGGGCGGCTCCCACGCTGTCCCCGGGCTCCCACGAGGTCCTCGGGCTACCACGCCATTGCCAGGCTCTCAGGCAGTCCCAGAAATTGTTATATTTCCAGTTTGCTGCAAGTTTTTTTTTTTCACAAATGGATGTTGAATTTTGTCTCTAGCTTTTTCTGCATAAAATACAATTTCTTTTCATTAATGTGTTAATGTGGTGAATTACACTGATTGATTTTTAGATGTTAAGCCAGCCGTAAATCTCCAGGATAAATTCCTCGTATTGTGATGTATGACCCTTTTTACATCCTTTTTATATAGTGCTGGGTTCGTTTTGCTACTATTCTGTTGAGGATTTTTCCTCCATGTTCATCAAGGATATTGAGGATATTGGTCTGTAGTTCTCTAGACCAAGTGCACAGAGAACATGCCTCAAGACAGACTATATATAGTCTGGGCCATAAAACAAACTTGAACAAAACTTTGAAACATTTAACAAGTCATACAAAATATGTTCTTTTATTATATCAGATTTAAAATAGTAATAACAGAGAAAAAACGAACCTTTAAATAACCCACTGGACAAAAAGGCAGCCTCAAGGGAAATTGGAAAATATTTTGAACTGAATAAAAATAAATCAAAACTCATATGATGAAGCCAAAGCAGCAAAGGAAAATTTTTTATAGCATTAAAATCCTTATAGAAGAAAAGAATAACTGTCTCAGATAATCTAAGCTTCTATTTTAAAGAGACTAGAAAAAGAAATATTAAGCCAACACAGAAGGAAATAACAAAGAGCAGAAACCAATGAGATAGAAAACATAAAAGTTATAGAGAAATAAAACCAGAAGTTAGTTCTTTGAAAAGACCTATATTAATAAACTTGTAATCGGACTAACCAAGAAAAAGGGAAAAATTATCAGTATCATAAATGAAAGATGGAATGTTACAGAACCTACAGAAATTAAAAGGATAATTAAGGTATGCTACAGAAAACTCGATGGCTGTATTTTTGACAACTTTTATGAAATGGATCAATTCCTTAAAGGACACAAATTACTGAAACTCACAAAAAAATGTATAACCCAAATAAACCCATATCTACTTATGAAATTGAATTTCATAGTTTAAAACTTAGTTAAGAAAATTACAGGACCAGGGGCCGGCCGAGTGGCGTGTTGGTTAGGAGTTGGCTTGGGACGCCAGCTCTGAGCAGCAGGACCCGGGTTCGGATCCCACATGAGGGCCAGTGACACTGCCCTCTACAGCTAAGATGGTGAACAACAGCTCAACCTGGAGCTGGGCTGCCGTGAGTGGCCAGCGACGAGGTAGGCTGCAGCAGGGCTGGCTGGCAGGCAGCAGGCGTGAGCTTTCGTGAGCTGCTGTGAGCAGCCATTCAATTGCCGGCAAGCGACTGCCTCACCCAGGAAGAGCGCAATGATCACACCAACATGGGCCAGTGAACTGACGTCCTCCACAACTAAACAGACAGCAACTTGTCTGTTCCCCTCCCTCAGTCCCCCAATAAAATCTTAAAAAAAAAAAAAATTTACAGGACCAGGTAGTTCCACTGGGGGAAGTGGTTCTTCAAAACATCTGAGGAGCAAGGCCCTGTTCGTACTTTTGGCCAAGTTCTGGAAGTACACCCCTCCTCAGTGGCATTTCTCTCACACACAAAGCACATGGTGCAGCTGAGAAAAGTGTTTATTTAGGAAGTGTCCCAGCTCTCCTGAGAAGGACCCAAGCTTCCCTGTGAGGCCACCCCGTGCAGTCTGCAGGAAGCCGTCATGGCGGAGGGACAGACATGGGTCACATCCCTGCCCTAATGACCCAGGTTGTGGCTGCTTGCACCACACCCCACACCCCACACAGAGAGCGCAATCTGAGCTTAAAACCAAGATCCAAGCAGCGGTTCTAAACCACACAAGCAAGCCTTGTTTCTGAAGGTAAGGCAGGCAGGCAGGAGTTCCCCAAGGGGACCGAGGTCAGCATTCTGGAGGCCCTGCCCCCTGCCTGCCCACTGCCATAGGGATTCAAGGCCACATAGCCAGCCTCTGGTGGGAAGGGGGAAGAACCGAGCGAGTCCTGGGGTCCTCTCTGGGCTGTTGGCTGAGGGCCACAGCCTGGGCTCAGTCTGCAGATGGGCCCTCCCGTCATCCTGCCGTGTCCCCCCCGCCGAGGAGCTGAGTGCCATTCTGTGCTGTGCCTGTGAACTCGGGGCAGGTCCAGGGGCTGTCTGGTCTCTGGGCTCAGTTGTCAGGCCTCCTGTCCTGTCCCGTGCCCTCCAGGTAGGCCATGCCACACCTTCTGCCCACTGAGGGGGTCTGGCGGTGTTTGCAGACTGGACGAGACAGTGCACTCATCTCGTCAGATCGGATGGCAGGAGGCAGGAGACAGCCCAGGACCACCGGCTGCCAGTCGGAAGAGCTCAGCTCCTGTCCTCCCTGCGAGGCCTGCGAGCTGCCTGGGGCGCTGCTCCCCCGGCCACCACCCCCACAGGGAGGGCTGTCCTGTTCTGGCCAGTGCGTGGGCTCGTTCTCATCTCGGGACAGATCGTCCAGGCTGTCTGCCCTGCTGGGCGGCTCCCTGCACCAAGGCTTCGGGTGAGGGGAAGCGGCCGACTGTAGACGCCTGGAGGGCTGTGGGCAGAGGGGACAGCACAGAGTCCCAGGGTTTTGGGAGTCAGGACAGGGAGGCCCCAGGCCCATGCGGTCATGAGTTTAAGAATGAGAAAGCCGACGGCTCCGAGCTAGGAAGGTCTGTGGCTGCCACCCTCTGTGACAATGTCCAGGGGGCCTGGGAAGGCTCCTCTGCAACAGTCCTGGCCCCCACCAGGTGGGGACAGGCCACCAGCTCCATGCCAGCAAACAAGGAGCTGTGGCTGCTGCTGGCCACCGAACTCCACGGGCAGCCATGGAGGCCTGGGCTGAGCTCTGGCCCTCCGTTTGGGGTGTCTGTGCCCAATGGGCTCTGCTCAGATCCAGCCCCCTGCTCTCTAGAACCTGCCAGCCTTGTCTCAGCCTCCTTGGCGTCCCTGGGGCCTAGGAGTGGGGACCCTTCCAGGGGAGGAAGGGGTGTAGGGCCCCTGGGCGAGAACAGGGCTGAACTCAGAGGCTGCAGGAATGCCTGGCCCCCAGCAAAAGGCACGGCGTCGGTCAGCAGGTCAGACGGGCCCACATGGACGGCTGTGGGGCTGGACTCAGCCAGGGGCCGCTGGGCAGGAGGCCGCTGTCGGCAGGAGGCTTCCAAGTGCCTTAGGATCTGGACGGTGGGAGAAAAGGGGAATCCGTGAGGGTCCCCGTGCTCCTCGGGAACCACAGAGGGCACACCCCTCCCCAGAGCCGGGCCGGCTCGGGGGTGGAGCAGGCCATGCACTGTCGTCCCACCAACTGGAGGACCACGTCCGCCTCTCACTGCTGAGATGCCAGGCCATACCATATGTGCCTGCGTCCTGGTCCCCACCTGCTGTCATAACCGTGTTTTCCCTGCCATCAGACCTGCTGCGTGACGCGTCAGCACAGGGACAGGCGGCCCCGCAGAGGGAATGACCGCGCCTTAAACAACCGTTTTTTAGAACCACCACTGTGACACCCCACTCAGGTGTGTGCGTGTATCGCAGCCTCGATGACACTTTGACACTGGCAACTAAGGATATGAATTTTCAGTGAAACAGGAAGACGCCAGGTAATCGAGGGATGCCAACAGGTAATGGAGGTGCGGGGGCTCGGCAGTGGGGAGAGGCCGGCAGCCTGGGGTCCCCAGTGAGAGATCCCGGCAGCCTTGGCACAGTTCAGGCATTCGTGGAAGGGGACGCAAGTGAACTGGACTGTCTCCGCCCTCCAGGAGCTGGGATCAGGGAGCCCAGCAGACCCAGAGCTGTGACCCGGGTGGAGGAGAGCGGGGTGAATCCATCCAGGCAGCCGCAGGGGGCTTCCTGCAGGGGGCTGCACATCAGCCGAGCCACACAGGACAGGAAGCCGCCACAGGGCAGAGCTGCTGGGCAGTAAGGCGGGCGGGCCTGAGGGTGCTCCAGTAGCAGGAAGAGGCCACCGAGCCTGGTGTGCCCCGGGTGGGTGCCAGGTGCAGCCCTGACTGCTGCTCTAAGGGCAGGACCTGTCCCGGAAATAAAGGGCAGGGACAAGAAGGCCGCCTGTGGGAAGGGTGTCCCCGCACTCACGGCTCTGGGCCCTGCCTGGCTGCTGCCCACCTTGGTGGCCTTGTTGGTCACAGGTCCGGGGCTGCCCACACTGAGCTCCTGCAGTCGTGGCCGGGCGAGGAGCAGGATGTGTTCCTGGGAAAGCAGGTCCGTGCACCCCAGGATGGCGATGGCGCCCAGGGCTCTCTGTGGGGTGGATGGGAGGTCAGCAGGGTCACCCCCAGGAGGGAGGCCCATCGGACGGGCTCCCTCCCTCCTCTCAGCCTCACCAGGGCCCCAAGTCCCGGGGATCCCTGTGCCCACTCCCCTCACTGGCCAGCCTCACCATCTGCACGCGCTCGCGGGCCGCCCCCAGGTGTCGGATCAGCAGCTCCAGCACCACCTCACAGTTGAGCAGTCCGCACCTGCGGAGAGGAGCAGCGGGCAGGGGGCAGCCGAAGCCTTCGCTTCAGCGAGCAAAGTGGGGGGAGGGGTGCTGGGAGTTGGGGGGGGGGCTCACGCTTTGACAAAGTGCTGTGCCTCCTCTTGGTTCAGGAAGGCGTGTGGTCCCTGTGTCACCATCTGGACCAGGCTCAGCTCCTGCTGGCAGACGCTCAGGGTCATGGCTTCGACCCTGTCGGGGGCACAGGGGTTCAGGGTGAGGGGGTGGGCGAGGCCCTTCCAGATCATGCCTCCCGCTGGGGTGGGACCCTGAGGCGCTCGCTCACCTCTCGGCCAGGTCGCTGGGCGCCTGGCTGGCCCCTGAGGGGCTGCCGCTGCCCGACCGACTGCCCGAGTCCGAGGCTTTGCTCCGGCCATTCTCCTGGGAAGAGCTCTGAGAGCCTGGGCTGCCGTCCTGCTCGTCCCAGCCCCCACCGGCCTGCCCCGGCTGGTGTCTCATGGCTGGAAGAAATGGTGAGACCCTGGGGCCTCAGACTGGCCTCATGCCCACCTCCCCGGGTCCCCTGGACAGGAAGGGAGGGTGGGGGCTGGGTCCCGAGATGTGGACAGAAACACGAGGATGAGGAGGCCAGAGCAGAGCGGGGTGCACCCTCACATAGGTCAGAGTAGAGACGGTGGCATGGACATGCCTGGCCGGGGACCCAGGTCAGGGACACGCAGCCACCCTGGGCACCAGAGGCCGTGCGGGTCAGCGGCCTGGGCAGGGGCACAGAGCCGGCACAGCAGCTCACAGGGCCCAAAGAGACCCTTGGTCACTCATGGTGACACCCGCCCCCTCTTCCTTCCTCACAGCACGTTGGTCTTTAACAGACCAGTGTCTCTGACCGCCAGCCTCCCCACCAGCACACACACCATGGAGGCCAGCCTGGACGGGCATAGAGCCAACTGAACGTGCTGGGTGAGTGGGCAGGAGCTGGGCTGGGGTGCCGGACCCCACGTCTGAGGAGCTGGGACCCTCAGGGAGCTGCCACCCCTCAGAGCCATTGCACTCAGAGCAGCTGGCAGAGGTGCCGGGCAGTGTGCGAACACTGGGCAAAGAGCAAGTCCCTATGGTCTGCATGACGCCACCGCGGAAGCCACAGGAACACGCACAGCACTGGTGGCTACCTCTCGTGGCCAATCAGTAACTGACAGCATGGCAGCTGGGGCTCGAACCCCCAACGGGTACTACCGCCTTCCTCAGCCCTGAGCCGGACCTGGGCTCTTGCTGGTCAGAGGTCTGGTCATCTGTCCCACCCCTGGCCCCAGCAGGTGACAAGGAGGAGCCCAACTGCCCATTCGGGGCCTGGGAAGGGAGGACTCTCGCCTGATACCTCTGGCTCCCGGGATGGCCGCAGGAAGCAGGTTCCCAGGAGTGGGGTTGCCTTGGCTGGCTGCAGGCGGCACGGCAGCCTGGTAGGCATCACCCCGCGGCAGGGGCCCCTGGGTGCCAGGGCTCCCAGGCCCAGGGCGCACGGCGTTGGCCACCACTTCTGCAGCCTTCTGGATGGTGGAGAGGAGGGCTTCGCCCGCAAAGCCTGCACCAGAGGGGCAAGGACACGGCACCAGCCCCTCAGTCCTGTCCCCCGTGTTCTCCCAGGACAAGGCACCCACGGCTGCTCCCTGCTCGGGGCTCAGGAGTCTGGGCAGAGGCCACGTGGTGGGAACCTGGGCCCTGCCGGAACCTTCCCAGGAATTCCACTCGAGTGTATTCACAGGCCTGATGGAGCTGGGGGCCGAGCTGCGCCCACCTCAGAGCAACGGGCCTCCTAAGGCTGGTCCAGGGAACCCAATCTCCACGCCATCCAGGGACTGCTCCCGACCAGTGCCAGGGGCAGGGGCTGTCTGTGAGCCCGAGCAAGAACAGGCCAGACCTCGGAAGCAGACCCACTTTAGGACATAGTGCTTCCGACGTGCCGGGAGGCGGGGGACCAGAGCTGTGAGCAGTAGGTTAGCACAGCAGCTGGACTTGGCTTGGAGCCCACGCGAGCCTCCCGGCAGACCAGGCTGGTGGTGTCCACGTGTCACACCTGCTGCTTGGTTCCACATCGCCTCTGTCACAGGCAGCCCCACCCTCTGCCCTTGCCCCCTCAAAGGAGCTAGGGGCTGGGGGCCCGAGCTCAGCACTGAGCCTTCACCTGTGGGTTAGGCACACCCGGCTGTACCTGCCCTGCCTTCCCGCAGAGCTGAGCAAGAAGGTGGCAGGAGTCACCAGAGGTGCCAGGCTCTGGCCCCGCCCTCCATGCCCCTGGGCAGGGAAAGCAGCTGGCCCCAGCCCCACCCCCCACACCCGAGCGCCCATGCTCACCCACCTGTGTGGCCTGGATCCCTGCTGTAGCCGAAGCCCTGGAGGGCGCCCTGGGGCCTGGACTGGGAGCCCATGCCTGTGGGAGGGTCCACATCAGCCAGGCATGGTGGGGGAGACCCCGAGCCCCCAGAGTACAAACCCCGGGACAAGGCTGCACACAGTCAGCTGCTTACCTACTGGAGGCAAGACCCTGGGAGGCTGGGAGGGAGGCGGAGGGGACAAGGTGTCCGAGAACAAGGTGCTCCCCAAGTCCTAGACAGGAGGCGGAGGGCACTCAGCGTGGCCGCACGTCTGCCGTGTGCCCCCCTCACCCTGCCGCTTCCCGCGACGGCCACACACAGGGCTCTGGTCCCACAGTAGGAGTGCAGCTGGGGTCCCGGGGGTGACCTGGGTCCTGGGCTCACCTGGGCAGCCGCCCGCACCTTCTGGTACAAGCTGATCCCATGGAGAGGATCCGGGGGTCCAGTGAAAACTGCAGGGCAGAGGCAGGGAGGGGCAGCATTACGGCCCTCCCTGCAGGGCAGAGGGCTTCGTCATCCCAGCCCCTCCCAGCTCAGCCCTCCCTGTATCCGCATCAGGGTGCGCTTTCTGAAACAGAGGTCTGACCTCAAATCTCATGGGACATCACTTCCAGGCCCCCAAGCCTGGGGGAGCCCCACTACCCAGAGCACCTCTGCTCCTTGGACAAAGTCCAGAGTGTCCCAGACCCCTTCCTTCAGGACTCACTGCCCCATGCGGCTTCTCAGACATGCACCATCGTCCCCAGAGCTGTGGCGGCCAGGCCACCGCAGCCCCGCAGCCCCCTGTGCCCACAGCGCCGAGGCCTGAGATCCAACTTCCAGAACATCACCTCTCTCTCCTCACACCACTGCCTCTCACCTGCGTTCCTGCATCGGCCACCTAACTGCCTCCCCTCAACCCACTCTCCACCCAGAGGTGACACGAATGGGGTCTTGTCCAATTCACACCCCTTTAGAGGTTTCCAGGGACCTGAGGATAAAACCTGAGTTCCTTATTACGGCCTTAAAGGCTCCCTCGGCCCCGCCCCAGCCTCGGGCGTATCAGGCTCCCAGCTCAGAAAGCTTCAGCTGTGGCAAACCAGGGGCCTCGGGGCCTTTGCACACGCTGGAGGCCCCCATCACTGAGGGTGCCTCACTCCACCTCATCCTCTCAGGCTCAGCCTGAGCCCGAGATCAGGTAACTTCCTTGTTTCCTCATTACAAACACGCTTCACTTCCCAGCATTTGCTGCCAGCCCCGCGGTGTGCAGATAGCGGCCCATGCCCAGCCAGGGCTGGCCACCAGATGCCAAAGCAGCAAGCGGACAAATGGACAGTGAGCAGCTCCTGCTGTTCCAGCCACAGCTCCCACATTTCCCACAGGGCCCAAGACTCGAGCTGCTGGGGACCCACTGGTGGGGCCCAGACGCTCGGCCCCTCCTGTGAGCACAGCCATCCTTAGCCTTGACCCCAACAGCTCCAAAAGCCCCACGCAAACCTCTCTGGGCACCGTCACCCCAGGGGCCATGCTCAGAGCTCATGGGCACAGATGATAACTGGACAGATTTTGGTGCCAACAAAGAACCATAGTCAGCTGCAGGATCCGACGAGGGTGTGGTGGTCAACAGCGGCCCCCCCGCTCCCTGGTGCTGCCCTCGTGGGGACGGCTCAGGTGAGGGTGGTTCTGGCCCAAGGGCCTGGCCCTTCCAAAGATTTGTTCAGGGTGCATGATAGGTTCCGAGGGTGGAGCACCCCCAGGCTGACCCAGGCCGGGATACCCGCCCCACCAACAGGTGGATCTCCAGCCATGTGCCCACAAGTCCTTGTTAGTGAGCCAGCACGACAGTCCTGGCCTTGGGGGGCGAGAGACGGGGCTCCACCCAGACACACCTGGGGCCTGGAACCTGACAGGCCCCTCCCGACAGGCCTACCATGACCCTTCCCTTCTGAGAACGGAAGGCTTCCTAGTGCGCCCTCTGTCGTGGGCCCTGAGGAGCAGCCCCGGGGGAGAGAGCCCCTGGCAGGGGAGAGGGGTGTCGACGCTCGCCGAGCACCACGAGCACCACCGTGCACAGGCACTGGAACAGACGGGCAAGCCCAGGTAATCACGCGCCCGCACAGTGAGCACAGCAGCAGACAGGGGACGGCCCTGGAGGCGCAGGGACAGCGCAGGGCGGGGTTGAGCTGGCTGGAGGGGACGAGGGCCCGCCAGCGGGGAGGGAGGCAGACGCTGGCGGTGCGGGGCGGAGCAGCGGTGAGGCGGCCGGCTACGGGGTTCTGGCTGAAGCCTGCCCTGGCGCCCTTTTCCCCGCGGCCCTCCCTTGGGGCTGTGCGGCCCCGTACCTGCCGCTTCCTGGATGAAGGCGGAATTGCGCTTGAGGATGAGCAGGAAGGACGAGGAGCCGTGAACACACAGATGGAGCAGGATCTTCAGCACCTGCGGGGACAGCCACGTGAGGCCGAGCTGGGCCCAGGGGCGCCGCCGCGGCACAGAGCCCGATCACGCCCTCCCGCCTCACCGCCGACGGGCAGCAGCTCTGACCTGGCCCCAAGGGTCCGCAGGGCCCACTCGCAGCCTCACCTTGAGCTTCACGCGGCCAGAGCCGCTGTGCAGACGGTTCAGGAGGTACTCCAGGAGGCACTGGCTGCTGCCCAGGGACTCGTGGGAGATTTCTGGGAGGTGTTCGGTTAGGGAAGACGCGCGCTGACCCCAGGCCTTGCTGCCATAGGACTTCTCAGTGGCCCTCCCTGCAGGCGCCCATCCCAGGCTTCTGCAGCGTCCTGGGCGCTGTCATCAGCAATGTGGCTTTCAGACCCCGCCCACCGCTGGTTACTATGGTAACAAAGTTACTGTGGTTACAAAGGGGCCATGGGACCCCCTCAGGATAGGAGAACCCCAGGGACCCTGTGCGCTGCTCTGAGCCCCTACATGTGGACACAGGAAGGATACTGGCGATCTCCTCAAACAGGTAGCCCGGGCACGGGACATCATCATCCGACGTTCCCTTTAGGAGAACCGGGAGCTGAAACGCAGCGAGAGCCCCACCGTGAGTGACACCTGTACACAGGGGCGGGCCCACAGCCACCCAAGGGGCCGGCCATTCCTGAAGGGCTGTCGGAGTCCTAGCTCTTGGGGCTCCGGGGGCGTGGGTTTCCACGTATGTCACTGTCGGCAGGCCACCTGGTAAGGGACCCCGGAGAGGACAGCAATGGTCCCACAGCCACAAGGAACCGGCTCCTTCTGGATGGTCGTGGTAACGGGCCACTCTGCTTGGCTCAGGATGTGTGACATGGCCCCCAGGCCTCTATGCTTACAGACGAGCAAGACAACTTAAAGGCACCTTTCATATATCTACTCATCAAGCGGCAAAAACAAAAAGCTCCAGGTGAGCCCCTTTCCCACGCAGGGGGCTGGGAAAGGTCCATCTTTCTAGAGCGCAGATCGGCAAATGTGACATGACCACCAGGCCTGACCCACCCACAGTTCCACTTCCGGGAACACACCCCACAGAAATAACCCACAAGGAGAAGCGGCTATGTCACGTGTCTTACGTTTATTTGTTAGCACAACACAGTCACGTTACACGCTGACTCGTTAGCACGAAGGCACACTGTCTACAAGGATGAAAACCTGAAACACCCATTGCCGCATCGTCCAGCACCTGGGGAGCGTGAGCCCGGAGTGAGACAGGACACAGGACCTCAGGGATGGCTCAGAATGCAGGCTCTGTTAGGTGCTGGCCACGGATCACAGTTTGAATGGCAGCTGTCTAGTGTCACAACAACACGCGCCTGAATGTCACGCGAGGCTGCGCGCGCACACCACTTACACCATCTGTCCACCGAGGCCCACGCTGGAGCTGGCGAGGTCTGTAAACCAGAGCTCTCAGCGTAGAACAAGCCTGTGTGCTGAGCGCTGATGGTGCTTCTAGCCGCATGAGGATGACCCCGGCCCCCCTAAAACGCCTGCCTGAGAAAGCTCCACACGCCAAGAGAATCTCCTGTTCACCCTGGCCGACACCGGGCGCCAGGCCCCGACCTCCCTGTCCTGGAGCATTTACTGGAAAGGGCTTACAACTATGAACACAGACCTCCTACAACCCAGGAGCGTCCGCAAGCACCTGAACCACCGTGAAGGCAGGGTGTCTCCCAGTCCCCGGGGGGGCGACAGGATCCGGGCTTACCGACCGGCTAGCTGGCAGACACAGCACCCACACTGCGCAACCCCTCAAAAATTTTCACGAGAGCCCCACTCTCCCCCCATTCTCCCTTTAAAACGCCCAGTCCTCTGGAACAAATGGAAACGGAGCTCAGGCCGGTGCTCTACGGACAGAGTCACTGTTTTCTCCTGCTTCCCAGACTAGCGTCCCGCCGTGCTTTTCCTGAACACGGCTCACCGTGTGTCTTCTTCTGTAAAGCCGCTTTAGGCTGGGGAAGAAAACAGAAACTCGCGTCCCACAGCTCTCGTCCTGTTAGCCTGACTGTCCCTAGTGGACCTGACGCAGGGCTGGCCTGACCTGCCCACGCCACGTACACGGGGTGGAGTCCCCGAGCCTTGGGAGGAGGTGATGGGGGAACGCGGCTGGAGGGGCCGGGAGGGTCGGAGTGGAGAGGCGGGGGTCAGAGGGAAACGGAGGGGACGCCGAACCCAGGAGGAGCCGGAGCGCGGTGACCCGGACGGGGCCAGGGAGGAAGACAGCTCTGGCCCAGGGCAAACCAGAGGAGGCGACACGCAGCAGCGCCAGGCGGCCCCCACTCACCCGCTGCAGGAAACTCAGGCGGTCCCGCAGCTGCGGCGTAGCCGCCATGATGCCGGTCACCTTCCGGCCCCGCCCCACTTCCGTCCGGCCCCGGGCTCCTCCAATCACCGCGTGGGTCTGGTCCAGCTCACCAATCGCTCACATGGGCGGGCCCTGAGGGCTACGGTAAACAATTTGAGTCTGAACCAATCCGAAGACCGAGATCAAGGACAGACAAGCCTGCAAGCCAATTGTAAGGCTCTGAGGGACCACACGCGCGGTTCCTGACAGAAGCCTGACCAATTAGAAAGCGCAGGGAAGGTTATGGACGGAAGCGCCGACCTATCAAGCTGTTGGGCGCCGGAAGAGGACGGACCTAAGATGGCGGCGCCCACGGATGCCAGGAAGAGCCGCTCATGTCGGGGAACGGAGTGGTGTGGAGCCGAGTGCGAAACCGCCTCCGCGCCTTCCCCGAGCGCCTGGCGGCCTGTGGGCCCGAGGTAAGGAGCCGTCAGGCGGGGTAATGCCTGCGGGGCAGGAAGGATCGCGGGGGCGGGCAGCGGGGCGCTGACTGCGGACGGGCGCAAGGGCCGCCGCGACCCTCGCCCCCCTTCCCTCCCCCAGGCAGCGGCCTACGGCAGGTGCGTGCAGGCGTCCACGGCCCCGGGCGGTCGCCTGACGAAGGATCTTTGCGCGCAGGAGTTCGAGGCCCTGCGGAGCTGCTTCGCCGCCGCGGTAGGTGGACGTCTCCCCCTTCTCAGCCCCGCCTCGGGGGAGGGACCCGCTGGCCTTCCTCCCCGTCTGCGTTTGGTGTTGGGTGCCCGCGGGTGCTTCAGACTCTGCACGCCGACCACCAGCTGGCGCCGCGCGACCCCCGCCGCCACGGAGCTTGTGCATGTCAATGAGGGGGAACACCGGCCTCACCATGAGGATGGTGACGGGGCGATGGTGTGTGTGAAACGCGTTGTAACTCCCCGTGGTGCTGTCGCCTGGGGGGAAGGCCCAGATCAGCCTCAACCCAGGACTCCCAGCCGAGTCCCACACCCGCTCCCTTAGCGTCATCGGTGTTCGCCACCCCGCGTGTGTGCTGTGTGCGCGGTTTCAACCGCTGATCCACCCAGCACGTACCAAGGGGCTGCCGGACGCCCCAACTTCCCCCGCGCGACAAGCCCATTTTGCAGAGGGCGAAAGGTGAGCCCACAGGTCGTGGTATCCTGCGATTGTCCTTATAACCACGGTTAGGACAGGCTGAGAAGCCCTCCAGCCAGCCGCGCTGGCCGGTTGTCACTGGTGTGGAAGTGGACTGTGCTGGGAACAGGCTGGGCCTGCTGCTGCTGGACTCGTCATCCCAGCAGGGCCCTTCTGTTCCTGAGCCAGGGCGTTTTCTGATCCCTGTCTGACCAAATGCTACGCCAGGGAGTCTCCTGGAAATCGGCAAGCGCTGTAGGCAAGTGAAGACTGGGTTGTGTGTACACGTTTTCATAAAGGACGTGTAGGATTAGGGTCAGAGGACACACAGACGTGACTGGAGGTGGGAGAAGCTCCCTGGGGGACCGCGATGGGCATCCCACAGCCCAAGGAGGGGCTGCCTCCCAGGAGGCTTTAATGTGCCCGACTCGGTGGGTCTGATGGCAGAGGGTGGCTCGGCAGCATTTCTGCTGCTCCAGGACCCTAAGCAGAATGGCTGAGAGCACACGATGTCTGCCTTCCCAGCTCAGGGAGACAGTTCACATGTGCATTTCCCAGTGGGCTCAGGCAACTCCTTGCACCTTCCTTTCGGTGGTTATGGCTGGGGCATGCTGGCCTCGTCCTGCCCCCGCCAGTCAGCCCGTGTCCCCAGCCTCAGATCCATGCAGCTGTTCATCCGAGGTTGCACTTGTCCCGTGGACGTGCTCCTGCCCCTTGGCAGCTTCCCTGCTTTGCAGCCCTCTCCAGGGAACAAGACAGACCTCACTGTGGCTGCAGGTTGGGAGACAAAGGTCAGACACTTGTAGCTACACAGGTCTTTCTCTTCCACCTGTTGTGGTCAATCAGGAGGGATCTGTTACAGGTACCTGGTCATCTGTGACTTACCTCACACTCCTTTGCCTCCATCATATGAATACGTCCCTGCAGGGCATGCCCTGCCCTCTGGAGCCCCAGTCTCACATGCCCTAAGGCTGCCTGGGAAAAGCAGGGATGGACTCCAGCCCCGCCCTGTGATCCCTGTTCCTGGGCGGGCGTGTCAGCATCTCTGACCTCAGCATTTCCTCCAGGAGAAGGTCCCTGCATGATGCCTGGCGCAGGGGCCTGGCTTTGAGGTCGGGGGCCCTGTGCTGTGACCAGCGAGCGCACAGCCAGGCTTTGTGTAAGGTGTTTGCTGGAAGATGGCGTCGGGCATGGTGGTTCTGTTATTTTGGAGCCACATCTAACTTGGAGAGAACCCGTTCAAACAAAACACTTTATTTTCCAGGCCAAGACGACCGTGAAGGGAGGCTGTTAGGAGGGACCAGTGCTGCAGTTCACGGCCATGTGCTGCCCCAGGGCGCAGAGACAGGCACCTGGTCTTGATGGCTTCAAGGGAGCAACATCTTGAAACACTGAAAGCTCTTAGGGCTAAAAGGACTTGACCGCGTCAGGGCGAGCTATGGGCAGAGGGGCAGTGGTCCCCATCAGTGTATACACGGGGGTTTGGGTTAGAATGAGATGGCAATGAACCACCAATAAAGACCATGCAGGTCACACACAGTCTCTGCTCTGTACATGGGGTGGGCCGTGGGACACAGCTTCAGGATTCTAAGTTCTCACCAAAAACACGTCATCTGAATCTCATGAATCCTAGATGTAACTGCCAGTTTCAAGGACATACCAAAGGTAAAAGAAGTGACAGCCCGGGGAAGAGACTACTGTAGGGAACCCGATACAGACAGCTGTTCTGGAGTCGGAGGAACAGAAGGGGAGCTCTTCTGTAGAGGGCAGTGAAGATGGCATGAGCCGATGCGCTTCAGGAACCCAGTGGCTTGGAGACTTGCGGGGCTGAAGCCCCCGACCTCTACCCCCACACCCGTCATCCTGAAAGTGACATGCGCAGCAAGACCAGGCAGGACCCCCAGTGTCCCCAGCCCGACGACCCCAGATTCCCGCTGGGAGCATCCCAGGGGCCTACAGGACACACTGTCCTTGGACTCCACCCACCCCAGGTCCCAGAGCCCCATGGGCCCCAGCACTGAGGTCTGCACTTCTGTTTGCTCTTAAATGCTACAGATTTCATCCGGCTTCCCCCCCCCCCCAAGTGGTGAGCCTCCATGTCCCTGAGACCGGCTCTCCAGGTGGCTTTGGAGGGGCGGCAAGTGCTGATGGGCTGGGGGCAGTCACTTCACAGTAACCACTGGAATTCAGGACCAGAAACTGACAGGACCCCCCATGCCTGCTGGGGTGAGAGGAGACAGCCTGAGGACCAGCAGAGGGCGAGTGGCGAAGAAACGGCCTCCCGACCTCCCAACTCCTGTTTGCCACCTGCCCAGACCTTGCAGCCCAGGCCCGGGCGGGTGCATCCAGCCCGAAGGAGGGCCTCCCCCCGCCCCTCTCTCCACTCTGACCTTTGACAGGTTCTGCGTCGCGGCAGGCACACCCGCTCCAGGTCCCTCCCGGCACTGCCCTGTTAAACCCCCATCCACAGTGACAGATGAAGCCATCACCCTACATCTCACACCCAGGACCAATGTGGGCTTGCTCCGCTGACCAGCCAGGCTGCACCCCCAAACACCAACCTCAGCTGTCAGGGCCTCTGGGGGCCCCTAGGCCTCTGTCCTGCTCCTCTCTGGCCTCCCCAAACTCGCTTCATCTTTAAAACTACTTATTAAGGGGCTGCCACAGGTGAGTCAGGATGTAGCAAAAATGGTTTCCTGTGTGGTCTGAACCACCCTGTCTCAGCCCTCAGGAGGGGCACCTCAAGTTCATCAAGGGCTCAGCTCCACAGGCTTCTGTCCTCCCCGCCTGGTCTGGAGCCCTTGCAGACAGGGTCCTGTCCAAGTCACCAGGGCTGTGGCTGCTGACGGTCACCCACTGGTGGCCAGCTGGTCGCACCTACAAGCAATGGGACTCAGAGGGAGAAAGCAAAGCACTGTCCAGCCCCTCCCAGCTCCCAGAGGTCCTAGCACCTGTGACCCTGGATGGGGACGATCTCTTGTTCCTGTGCTGAGGGACTGTAGCTGGGGAGGGGAGCCAAGCTGAGAACCAGGAAGAGAACAAGAATGCTGATTGGGGGGACTGAGCATCGGATGTGGGGACCCGGCAATGGGAGTGGGCGATAGCAGCGTCGCCCTACTTTAAGGACAGAGTTATCTGGGCAGAAACAGCAGGGGGGGCGGGTAACCTTGGAAGAGGACATGGAACCTAGGTCAAGGTAAGGTCTCAGGTAGGATGTCCGGTAAATAGGGCCGGACACAGTCCACTCCCGCTCTGCACAGATGGGATCTCCCTGGAGACACGCACAGAGGCGCTCTACCTCCAAGCACATTCAGGAGGGATCAGCTCAGCCTCCAGAAAATTCCACTCCTTTTAGTTCTCATTTCTAGACCTCAGGCTGCCCAGTGCACAGACGTTACAATAAAAAGTAAAAACAATTTCAAAAGGCACAGGGGCAGAGCACGATCCGATGCAGAAGGGGAGCCAGGCGCACACGCAGAACAAAGTGGCAGAGGCCCTGGACTCACGAAGGACAGCCTGCCAACCCTGCCAGGCTTGCCCGCCGACCGACTCCCGACCCGGGGCCACTGTGGGCTTTTGTACTCCCTGGAAACAACACAGAACAAAACACCACAAAAACCCTCCCGGCAGGTGAGGACGGCCGAGCCCAGACAACCATGGCCAGCTGCGCCCAGAACACGTCGCTGCCGTTTGTACGACGTCCCCTCCCACGTCCCAGTCAGAGTGCATTTGGGCCACAGGCCTGGCACTGAGGGCAAGGACCTCTGGGCAGCAGCAGCTCTGCATGCAGACAGGGTCTCTCCAGGGCTGCAACGCATCCGGGTGCCATGTCATTGTGAGGCGTAGTTACCGGTCCCCTTTCACACTCCCGGTCACGGCTTCTTGTTTGTTGTATGGAGTCCTACACTGTCTTTCTTCAGGTAGCTCACCTCACTAACTTTTATTTCTAAAAACCCACACAGTAATTTGGGGAACCATAGTGGGCAGCAGAGTGTGATGAGTGTGGGGGCACTCGGGCAGCTCTGACACGCAGGGACGGGTTCGCCATCCCGCCCCGGGGCCCTTAGACAGGAAACAGTAGGGTAAAGGCAGGGTGTTTACTGAGGTTTTCTGCGCCACTCGGAGCATGAGCTATCTCAATACAACTCGGAGTAACTGGGAATCCGAGGCTGGGGCTGCTCTCGGTGGCCCACGTGCTGGGACGAGTTGCGTGGGGGCACCTACCCTCACAAATCCCGTTCCCACAGCTGCACAGGACCCACCTGTCTCAGAACACAGAGGTGGCGGTCACAGAACTCAAGCCCGTAGCGATGCCACATCTCCTTAGAGTTTCAGCAGGCGGCACAGGAGCTCAGTCACCTGCTCAGTTCAGAGGCACATCTGTGACGGCAAAGACCGTTGGAAGACACTTGCAGTGAGAACTTCCAGACTTCCACTCGAGTGTCACGTCCGGAATTCAGCGCCCTCTGTACTCCAGACTGGCAGCCTGGGCATTGCTGCGTGAGACAAGCTGCCCAGGAGCATGGTGGCCACTTGCAGGCGCGCTCAGGCCTCCTCCTGGGCCCCGGGCAACTGTTTGATCTGGCGGCCATGGACCACTCGCAAAGCGCCTCCCGCGGCCTGGCGGAGCTGGGTGTCCAGGGCGCTGCGGAGGTCGTTGACCTGCATGCCAGGCATAGGGTGGAAGCTGATAATGACCCCATCATCGGGGACCGGCCCCCCATCTGCACGAGGAGCCACGTCCCGCCGTCTCCTCCGGAGATCAGAGTCAGCCTGGACTTTCAGGTCTCGGTTGGGTTTGGCATTGTCCGGCTTCTGAGCCTCAGGGACGGCCTGCTGGGGCCTGAGCTCAGGCTCTTGGACAACGGCGTCCTGCCCGGGAGCAGGCACATGGTCCCCACCCAGGCGGTCTCCACCAAGGACATCCTTTCCCGCCTCTGGGTGACCTTCCTGCGCCCCAGCAGAGACGGCTGGGTGTTCGCGCTGATGTGCCACCACCTGGGCCCGAGGGACTGCCCCTCCCGACCTGCTGGACGGGCCTGCAGGACCCCGGGCGGGGCTCACTTCCTGGGACTTGTCTGCCCCCACACCCAGGTCGCCTGCCACCTCCTTTCTGGATTTCTGCTGCTCGTGGGAGCCTTCTCCATTATTGCCCTGACTCTGCCCCGGGGAGTCCCCAACATCAGGCTTCTCTGGACTCGCAGGTGCCCCAGCGAGGTGTGGCTCGGGGACCCGTTCCTGCACGCCAGCCACCTTGGGCACAGCACGCTGCCGGCCTTCCATCGGCTCGGCCTGGGCTGCCCGGGGCTCCGGGTCCACACCACCGGGAGGACCGGCTGGGGCCCCGCCTGCGGCCTCCTCTGGAGAGTGCTGGCGATGCCCCTGGGGCAGAACGGGGGGCTGCCGGGGAGCTCCGAGCTCAGGTTCCAGAGGCTGCAGGGGGGGATGCGGCACCGTCCCCGCATCATGGGTGTCCTGCTCCTTACTCCTGGGCGCGGCCACCCCTGGCTCGGGCTGCATGTCCACTGCAAAGGAAGACACAGGTTTAGCCTTAGAAACAAGCCGAAGCCCCCGATGCTGGGACTGAAAGGAACCAACTTGACAGGGAGTAAGAAATCTGCTCACAACGTGAACGTGCACAGCACGACTCCGAGGCCACGGGGCCAGCTGCAGGGATGCCAGGAGACGCTGGCATTCGTGATGAGCGACGCCCTTGCCGGCCCCCCACCCACCACCCCGCCTGCCCCTGCGACTTGCCGTCCTCGCCGGCTGGCCGCTGCTGGTGCATCTCCTTATGTTGTTCCTCGATCACTGCCAGCAGCTTCTGCTGTTGGTCCAGGAGGCGCTTCTGCTGCTCCTGCTGCTCCTGGATCACCTGCAGCAGCACGGCATGCTCCAGCATCTCCGCCCGGCCGGCCTCTGTGTGGGGACACGCGGTCAGAGCCTGCGCCGGGCCCAGGTCGCCCCAAGGCCAGGCAGTGAGGCACTCAGGCCTCTGCAGCGGTGCCAGTGACCGTTCTCTCCGCCTCCCTCTCACACAGGCTTGTGGCATAGACACCCCGGTGCAGCCCAGGTGCCCTCACTGGCTCACGGTCGCTGCCGGAGTGGCACCAATGTGACCTGGGCCGGGTGACAAGCTAGAAGGGATCCTGAAGGAGAACACAGGCACCTACAGATGGCTCTTGCAAGGTGAGAATTCTGAAAACAAACCGCCGTCTTTCCAGCAGAGACAAGAGCTGGGACCTCCGCGGGGCTGAGACCACCAACACACAGCGGGTCCCCACACACTGCCCCCCCAGGACACAGCTGCAGGCCCCACACGCAAGGAGCTTGGCAGCGAGGCGAAGGGAAGGCCCATGCAGCGGGTGTGGGGAGGAAGCAAGGCTCTGTCACAGCCCCACACAGAACATGGCCCCAGGGGAGGCCCCGAGGCTACACACCAGCACCAGCAGCGGCCTCAGCCCACAAACGCTTTAGCAAGGGGCCCGCTGCTCCCCCTGGTTCACGTAGCATTTACAACACAAGTGTCTTTAAACAGGAAGCTTTGAAAGATGCTGTGACTGGTCAGGGATGTTGGGTGTGAAAGTTCACATCAGAAGGAGAGATGTTTGCAAGTGGTGACAGCGACAGCCCAGCAAGGGCCCCGTCTGCTGGGCACAAGGACCATCCATGATCTGTGACCTGTCATAACAGTGGTGGGTCCGCCTTCCCCCAGGGACGGCAGTGGGTCACCACCCTGGAGGCCAGTGCATGGATGTTCAGATGGGTGGGCCATGGAGGACTTGCTAGTGAGGCAGCCATGGGAGGACGGGCCACGTGGAGGAGTGGGCCCCTCAGCCAGTCCAGCTGCAGCCCCTTGCTCCCCACCAGGCACCCATCCAGACACCCCAAGGTCATCAGGACACCTGCCTGAGCAAAGCCATGTTCGTGCATGGGTTCCGGACTCTGCACGCCCCCTTTACACATGGGAAGCCACAGTGCTGTCCGCATGGGCTTTCAGACCAGCCACCTTGGCCGTGGGCCATCCTGTCACCCTGGGTGCCATGGCTCATGACCATGTAATGGTTGATGGCACAAGGACGGCCCCACATGCTGCCAACACTGCTTGTTCCCAGGCGGGTTCCAGAGGAACCAGTCCCCCCGCCTCACTGGCTCCTCGGAGGGCCAGCCCTGCACCGACACTGGGGTGGGGGGAGGGACGTGACGCCATGTCCAGCCGGAAGTGACACATGGAACAGCTATGAGACAGAGCGGAGGTGACAAGCTGTGCCCACAGCCAGACCACTCGTGTAGCCCACCAGGACCACAGGGGCCAGCCTCACAGATGGGATGACAGCCGCCAGATGCTAATATACATGCAGAATATATTAACATCAGGCCATGCACACGCAGAAGTTACATGTGGTCCCCGCCCCATCTCTCAGGTGGGGCCTCAAGCGGCCAGCGCTTCCGGACTGCTCTCCATGACAGTGGAGCCACCACAGGCCTAAGAGGGTCCAGGGCATTTGTAAAAGAAGGCAGCAAATCGGGGCATTGGGGACCCCAACTGAGGGCTGTGGCCCAACCCAGGGGTGGGGGTGGACCGTGTGTGCCGGTCCCTGGGCTGTGCCACACGCACCCCGTGCAAGGCCGTATGGGACGCATGCCCGCGTCAGCTTTGTCCTTGCATCTCTGAATCCTCCACAAACACACCTTTTATTGTGACACACGCCTCTCGATTCATACCTGCTACTATCTTTTTGATTTCAGCTGTTCATCCCATTGAGAGGCGTACGGAAGAAAAGCAGAATAGGAAACCGTGAAAATTCTCTTTTCAGAAAAAAAGAAGTCAAAGAATCAAACAGGTTTGGTAACAGATTCTAACGATTGGAACCAAGCAACAGGGAGGCTAAAACCAGAGACAAAGTAACGTGTGTGCCATCCTAAAGCAGCTCCTGAGCTCGGGAGACCCCGTGTCCTTGCAGGCCCTGCCGTCCAGGACCCGGGAGCTAGAAGGCACAAGTGGCGTCCCTGTGCCGGGTGCTCCGTCGGGCTGTCCCCACAGGCCCACTGGGAGGCAGGCAGCTCGGGGGCAGCGAGGCCTGTCTCGTGACCCCACCCAAGACAGCTCCAGCTCAATTTACAAACACAGGATGCACAGGGGACCATGCAGGGATCTGGGGCCACTCGGTGCTGCCACCAAATGCAGTGACACTACTGGGGGCTCAGCCTGCATGGGGATGTGACACAGAAGGCTGTGGGTCATCAAAGAAATCAGACGGGTAATCGTAGGCCAGCCAGGCAGCTGCCACCACCTCCACCTCAGAGGCAAAACCTAACTGGTGGGGACATTGTGAGGTGTCAAAAGCCAACCACTGGAATCACCCCAAAATGAGCAGAAGGTCTGGAGGAGGATTCGCGGCAAGTCTCACTCCCTGGAGAGAAAAGCAGGAGGAGCTTGTTTCCGGATAGGTGATGGGTCTTCCACGCAGGGGACACAACTGTCCCCTGTCCCACCCCCTCCAGCTAAGGGGACAGGCAGACAAGGGACTGGAGCCACTGCCGGGGGTGGGATGCTGCGACAGAGTGGAAACAGCCACTGGCCCTCGAACTGGGTCACGGGAAGAGACACCCTCAAATAAGCCAGTCCTGGTGCACTAACGCCCCCACATCTGCTGGTTGTAACATCACCGGGTTAGAAGTGAAGTGCTAGGAAGTGAAAGACAAACGGTACTGGAGTCCCGTGACAGAGCGACAGGTCCTTTCAGGGATATAAAAGGGCTTTTAGGGAGGAACCAGAGGAAATCCAGGAAGCCCTTTAAGATCTTTCCCTCAGTAGGAAATGGGACACCGGAGGCTGGGGGCCTTGAAAAGGACCCGAGGTGGCACCTGTGGCCCTCTGCCACTCCTCCGGGTATGGAGGAGGGGGCAGATGTCCCAGGGTGCCAGGGGCAACGGATTGGGGGGATAGTTGACGGGGGTGCAGCCAAGCCCTTACCCTCCAGCTTGCTGCCGGCACGGTCTCCACCCTCTCCCTCCACGTTCCTCAGTCCTCTGGGCTCTGCCTGCTGCGCGGCCCCGGGGCCTGGTTTCCCACCTGCACACACAGGGAAGACCAGGTTCGCAAAAAACTCGGAAGGAAGGAGGCGGCACAGAAGAGGGTAGAGGGACAAAAGGAGGTGGCAGATGTTTCCTAAGCTCACCCTCCACTTTGCCCCTCCTCCCCTGTCAGCACAGTTTATATTCAACCTGATGATTACCAGGGAAGTAATAAAAAATATTTAACCATCTCATAGATGGTGGCAGTGAGCCAGGGCTAACCACCCTCACCAATTAGCATACGAGAGCCCTCCTGACCAGCTCTTAGCTGGCACTTGGCAACGCGGTACCTGTCAGGCGCTGGGCGCACCGTTCCCTTTCCCCCACTGTGTGCACCCAGACACGGGAGCAGCGCAGCACCTGACATTTAGTGGTCTGGCAAACAACTGTGTGACAGATATCAGAATAGCTGTCAAGCCACCAGACTCTTGGTTTTCCCCAACAGCTGCTGAAGGGGCTGCTCCATTTACATGCTAATCTTGGAGATGAGGAAACGCCGGGCAGAAGAAGGCCAATCCGTTCCTGCCCTAGCCCAGCCTCTCCCACGCCCCCCAGTGGAGGGTCCTCTCCAGGGATGGGCGACTTTGCTGACACCCACCAGGCTCCTTCTCCGCTGGTTTGCCCACGGCCCCCACGTGGCCTGGCAACGGGACACCGGCTGCTCTCTCCCCTGCACCTGCCCCCAGGGCGTCCAGCCCCTCAGGGAGCACTGCCTGGGGCCCTGGACGCAGACCCCTATCGCCAGGCTCCAGATCTGCGGGCTCCACAGCCAGCTGCCCATTTCCTTCCGGAACCTTCTGAGGGTCTTCAGGAAGACCACCCGCTGCCTCCAGGGCCTGGTCCTGGTCAGGTCTCTCTCTCTCGGAATCTGGCAGAGGTGGCACCACCTGACCCTTGCCCGCCTCAGCCTTTTCATCCACGTGTTTGGACGAACGTTCGTTCTCCTCTGGTCCTTCTTGGTCTTGACCTTCGTCCACCACCACCTTGTCATGAGGGACGGGGGGTTCATGGCGGTGGGCCTCGCCCATAGGTACCGCCACACCTGGCAAGAGACGGAGGACGTGTTAGAGAACAGGCAGGGGAGGATGACTGTGAGCTGAATTCTAGTGCCCGATGGTGTGACAGGCCAGCGAGTGCCACCTCTCACAGATCTGACTACTGTCTAGCTGAGGACTGATACCATTTCTAGAAAATTACAAGACAGGCAGCTGCAAACCAGCTGCTTTGGCCAGGGACATGCCTATCTGAATCGAAGGATGAAGGATGCAGAAAGGGCAAGGCTGGGGAGGAGAGACCCACGGCCCTGGGATCCCCTCCCGACGGACGCCGGCACCTTTCCCACCCTCGGCCCTCGCGCCAGCCACACCACCTTGGCCTGGACGGTCCAGCTGCACCTCCTCCCGCCTCTCCTTGGTGTCTTCCCTCTGGGGGACGTCCACGGGGCCCTTAATCTGGGCCTGCTCCATCTCCTCCTTCTCATGCGGCCGCTTCGGCTTGTCCCGGTCGTCCTCGGCCACGCCCACCACTGGATTCTGGCCTGTAAGCACAGCACAGCTAATTGAGCAGCGTTTCCACATGGCTACACCACCAATCAGCACAGAACCGGGCGGTTTTCCCTCGATTGGAATCACATTTCCCAGTCGAATGGCAGAGCCTAAGCAGTTCTTTCTTTCCTGTTCAAATCATTAGCAGCTAAGCTGCATAGGAAACTGTCACTTTTCATGTGTATTCATAACAAAAATGTCAAAATGAAATTTACACCTAATTGGGTGCTGAGCACCACTCCATGGAACAATGGCCGTTACCACCAGATGGCAGCACGAACCCACTGTTTGATGTGGGCTGGGGGCTGCTGGCCAGGGGACAACACCCTGCCAAGCTCAACCCCTCCCTGCAGGCTCAGGGCCAGGAAGGGGAAGGGCTTAAAGAAAATGCCGGTAGGAGGTGGCTGGCAATCCCGCTGACTTCTCACTGTGGATGGTGAAAATCAGTATTGAAAGGAATATGAGCAAAGGGCACCATCTACATACAGCGCTGTCTGGCACCTCCCACGGCGCCTCGCGCCTGACCCCGTACAAGCACGCTCACGGTAGGGCCTTAGGAGGGGCGCTCAAAGATGGCCCACAGAACTGGGCCAAAATGGAGACTTTCTGGAAACTATCTCAAAAAAACAACAACCAGACACTTTCTACATGTTAGGCAAATGTGGCAAAAACCAAAGAACTAGCTGGGGGAGAAAAGACTAAAAAAGTCATTTCATCCCAGAGGCAAGACGCAACTTCTGTCCCCATCTTGGGACTCGAGTTGCCCAGAAAGGGGGAGATTGAAGTGCTCAGTGGGCAGCAGTGCTGGTTCAAATAAGCATGTGGCTGTCGCGCCAGCAGGTAAAAATGTCCTGGTCTCCGCCACACAATTATCCCCTCACCGAGGCCCCTGTGCTCCAACAAGAACCACCGTAAATCAGGGGTCTCCGTCGAGCAGATTACGAAGAAAGGGGCTGGAAGGGAATGGACAGATGTGACAAAACAAAGAAAGTAAGTCTCTGTTCTGTCACGGGACCAAGTTGCCTCTGAGCAGTCATTTCTCATCAGGGAACAAAATTAGTCCATCATGGGCATGAAGGACCAGCTGAGGCGAGCTCCGGGCCGTCTGCCAGGCCGGGGAGTGACCACGGTGGACACGGAGTCGCCCAGGAAGTTGAGCCATCTGCAAGGGGCATAGGGCTTCCCAGCGAGGACCAGAGGGCTCGGGCCCCACCCGCCTGCAGCATTCTCAGGCCTGGATTCCCCACTCCACAGCTGTCCGCGGGCAGTGGCCACGGCGTTTTCTAAAGCGGAACCAGGCTCTTCATCAGGGAGTTGGCCGGCAACGCCTCTTGGCCGCAGTAAAACTAACATAAAACTTCAAATGAGTAACTGAAAACAGCCTACGCTCCCCCGGCTGGGCTTCCGAAGGGACGTGACCGCGTGTTTCGCAAAGACAGGAAATCGCCCTGTGTGGTTGGCGGCGGCGCTACTGGCTAGCAAACAGGGCAATGACAGTGTGGATGGAACAGCTGGGGAGCTAGGGGCTCTGGTGCCCCACTTTCTCCTGGGAGGAAAGCAGCCTGTGGGGCTCAGGAGCGGTCAGCAGAGGGCGCCCCGCACAGGCTCAAAATCCCACAGCTTCCAAAGGTCAGCACCAGCCTGCTTCACTGGTCCTCAAAGTCGCTGGCCCAGATCACCGGTCCTCAAGGTCGCTGGTCCTCAAGGTCGCTGGCCCGTCTTACAAAGCCAGGCCCTGCCACGGGGTGACACCCTGACACCTGGTCCTGCCTTCCCTCCAGAGTGCCAGCCTCTGTGGCATGAGAAGGGGTGGCTCATTAGGGGCTTGTTTTTAAACCCCCCTTCTCTTGACTTAGTGGCAAAGGGACCCCGACTCTATTTGCTCATCTTTTGAATGTGGAGGACTCCCAAAGACTCCTCAGACCCTGATGCCCCACGGGTGGCCACTGAGGCATCGATCTGTTCCCTCACGGTCCTCCTGCAAGCATCACATCCTCCCACGGGCAGCAGGTGGGCGGGTGTGCCATTCAGCAAGGGACCAGGTCACGCGGAGCTGGCACACAGGAGGCAGTGCTCCTCCCCGCCCCCGAGAGGTGCTTCCGAGTCTAGCTGGATCCTTCCAGGCCAGCGTGGTCATCCTGGAAAGCGCCAGTGCAATGAGCTTGCTGCCGTACATGTCCCGACACAAGGGCAGAAAAACGACAGAATCGCAGGGGCGTTGGGGACGTGTGACGCAGACAACGGCTGTTAAAGCCCCTCTCAGCAGGCGCAGAGGAAGCTGTGGCACCAAGTGCTCCCAGACCTGGGGAGAGAGGCGGACGTGGAGCTGTGTCGCCCTCACAGGCATGCTGGCATCTGTCACAGGAGTTGGGATGCTTTCCTGCCTGTGCATGGGCAGCCGGTGCCGGCACACGGGCATCTGCTTGGGACAGATTATGGTGGAGCAGAGGGCGAGGCGGTGAGGCCACTCAGGTCTGTGGTCACCCTCTGCCACCTGTGTCCACACGTGTGGACGTGCGGCCACCTACAGGCCTTCCTCCCGTCCACAGTACTGCAGGCTGGTCCGCTGTCCAGCTAGGCACCCAGAGGTCCCTGGCCCTTCCTCCTTTCCCACCGAGCAGAAGAATGGCAGTGTCCCCCCCACTGCAGGAAGGGGACGAGTCACACAGGGGCGTGGGCCAAGGCTGCTGCCCAACACTGCGTAATGGGGTGCGGGCGTTGGGAGAGAAAGGGAGCCGAGCTACAAGCCTGCCAGCCACCTAGGGTGCTACCAACCATGAGGTGGGGGCCTGCTCGCCTTTTCTAAACGTGTGGCCGCCTCGTTCCCCCACCCCCACCCCACTCCTCGTGGTCCCCACACCAGGGAGCGCCCCAGACTCTGTGCTCACCACCCAGAGCTCTAGGCCATGCATGCTAGTCACATGTGTCCCCAGGAAGGGAGGACTCCCACTGTCAGCCCCAGGGCCAGTGCAGGGCTGAAGGAAAGTTGGTACTGTTTTGAATGTGACATCAAAGAGCCCCGCTGGCACACCGATGGCAGTCCGACAGGGTGCCCAGCACAGGCCCCACAGGCCCCAGTCCGCTTCAGCGAGGCCGCCCACCCATCAACTATGGGGGAGGCCAGGCGAGAACCACGAACGCGCTAAACACACACGGCATGTGGTTCCGCGGGGCCATGTGTTTTGTTACAGCTCGTGGAGCAAATGGAAACCAGATGTGGCCGCGCGGCTCCAGGTGAGCCAGCGCCCGCCTCCGTGACAGGACACAGCTGCTCGGCCATGGGACAGGCAGCCCTGTCCGCGCTGACTCATGCCAAGAAAGCCGCCACCGGGCGGGCCCACAGCTGAGATGAGGCCAAGGCGAGGGAAACTGTGCCTGAGCCCAGCTCTGCCGGGGCATCCCCAACACACAGAGCCGACACACCGGTGGCAAGGGACCCAGTGAGGTGCCAACAGGGTGGGTGCACGATGGCCACCTCCCTCTTCATGTGGACTTCTCCATCCAAACGACCAAGTCCGATCCTGCAGCTCTGAGCACTCGGGCTGTTTCCTTGGTGTGTCCTCCGTCCCCAGGGGTCTTCTCCACAGGACGCCCGCAAAGGGGGATCTTCTCTCCAGGCCTGCCAGCCCAAGGAGGCAAGACAGAGCATGCCCAGCTCCTCCAAGGTCAGACAGCCCTGGGACAGACTGCTCCCCGGCAGGCAGGGGCATGTACAGGGTGCTGACACCACAGGTGCGCTCCAAGCACAGGGAGTGAAGCCGGAATGCAGCAGCAACGTGTCCAAGGGCCTCTGCCTGCACCCAGGCACGCTCGCCTCCCAGGCCAGCTCTTCCGCGACCTTCTCTTTTGTCCCTCATGGCCGTGGGGGACCTCACCGCGCTGGGGCCGCAGCACCGGGGGCCTGCGAGGCGGCCTCAGCCGTGGGAGGGGATGGGAGTGGGTGTCATCACCACCAACAGACAGGCTGACCAGTAACAGGCCATGAGCAGGGCACCCACCAGAGGAGTGGCACTGACTGTCCGGGCGAGGCGGCTGAAATTTACATCCTCATAACAAAACAAACCAACGTGCGTGACACCCACACAGTTACTTACCTATCCGTGCACTGAGTGGGGCCGTGGGGGTTTCAGCCCTGCTGTCCCTGTCTGCCGTCTGTCCCCTGCACGTGGGTGGATGTCCCCCGCCCCACTCCATCACCCAAACAGGATGGAGGCAGCTGGACATGTGAGACAGCCTAGAAAGTGCCAGCTTTGTTCCCACGGCCCCAAGGTGTCGCTACTAGGGCACGCCCAGGAGGGCGCAGGAGCTGGGGGGCCGAGTGTGTACCTGAGAGCCGCGTACCTGGAGGCCGGGCCACCTTCGCCTTCATCTCGCCCTGAGCCTCTCCAGGCCGGCCGCCGGGGGCCCCCTTTGCCAAGTCCAAGTCCACAGGAGTCTCCTCACTCACGGACAGCGTGGTGTGTGTGCTGACCACCAGGATGCCCAGGCCAACCCAGAGCACCACCTGGATAAGACAAAGACCCCAAGGGAAAAAGGAGTCACCAAGTCCCCAGGCCCCCACCCTTCCAGGGAGGGAGGCCTGAGGGCCCAAAGCCACCTCCACCTCGTGAGCATAGCAGGAGGGGCCAGGGGCACAATCACGGAGGACTGCCTGCAGCCAATCACACTGACCGCCAGGAGACAGTGGTCCCTGACTGCTCAAGTCTGATGACCGAGTCATCAGCCAAACCTGCTGCAGCCGCATCAGCAATGGGGTAGGGCAGCGTGAGAGTTGCCCCAAGAGAGAAAAAGCATGTGTATGACACAGAGGTGCCAGCTGCCTGAGACCCAAGCCTACTGATCACACCTCTCAGAGAGCCTGGCGACCGGACCCCCCTGTACCCATGGCTGCAGAGACTGGTTTGACGGCTTCGCCCGGAGATGCAAGAATCTCAAGGCACCTGCCCAGCTGGAAAGGGGGCCCTCATGCATGGCACCACTTCAGCCAGTGGCCATGTGAGGGCCCAGACCACAGGTCCCCGGTCCCTCAAAGCCCAGGTATGAACAACCTGCTCCTAACGTCACCCAGTGGGCAGGACATGCCCAGAGCTGTGGGGCGCAGACCGGGAGATAGCATGGAGGTGGCAGCTTCTCGCCCCTCCTGAGCTGGGGTGTCCAGCGGTGCTGCCCTGGAGGCAGTACTGATGGTCAGAGGTCCCCTCCCTGTCCTGTCCCTCCCGTGAAGGACCTGCCGTTGACCATAAATGCTGCCTCAGTAACTAAGCACAGCAAACCCCACCCCCGCAACTGTCTCCTCCGGCATTTGCACTGTCTGCAGTACGGTGAGCACAGGCTGGGCCAGCACTCTCTGGGTTAACGAGGCTGCCTCAGCAGTGGGCGCTGCCACTTCTGCCCTGCCCACCTGGCCCACCGGCTCTTCCCAGGCAGCAGTGACTCCTGGTCCCACAAAATGCTGGCCACGGTGCGGGAGGCCCAGTCACGGTTCCCGTGGACTGGCAGGGCCCCTCTGGCAGTGACTACCAGCAGGCCACCATCGCTGCCAACAGAGCTGCCCGAGGGGCACATGGGGATGCTGTCGGATCTGTGCTCTGAGGTGCAAGCAGCATCTGCAGACGCTATGACCATGGCGCTCAGGATCTAGCTAGACCCCTGACCCGCCCCAGTCATTTTCTTAAAAGTATGTGGATGCTACCCAGCCGTGTGCCCAGAGATCAGCGTATACATCTTCTTACCAGGAAGGCAAGATTCGTGCAGCAGTGATGGTGTCTAGAAGGTGACCAGAGTAGTTTTTTAAAATTAAGGAAGAAACCTTGAACACTTCGCATTTCTGATTTCTCCGGCCAACGGCAGAAACGACCTCACTGAGAAGCAATGAAAGCATTCATCTCCTGACTTGGATCCTGCAACGCCCACAGGACAAGTGCAGGACCTGAGTGACAGTCCTTAGAAACTCAGTGGGATAAAGAGTGACACTGCCCAATATCCCCAGCCGGTCAGGAAGGAAGCAGCTCCCAGTGACACAGAGGACAGTGCCCAGGAGGGAATCCTACGAGCCTGGTGGCAGCAAAACCCCATCCACCTCCAGGCTTGTTCAGGTCCCTAAGCTGGTTTTAACATGGAGAAACAGTTGGTCATTTTGTGTCGGGTCATTTTACAGGACACCAACGAACATCTCTGTGGGAGACTCAGAAGCCACAGGCAATGTCTCACCCACAACTTTGAACAACTTTGAATGATCTGTATCAATGCTCAGCTTTCTCAGCTTAAAGAAAAAAAATTGCATGCAGAATAAAAAACATGAACTCTGTCAACACTGGGGGCCAGCAAGCTTCCGAAAAAGACGCAAGACAGCGTCAACTTCACGGCAATTTACAAAAAAGGGCCTGCAGGAAGCCAGAAAGTTCCAGAAAATGACCCAGCTCCACCCAGTCTGCGTGGGAACGTGTTAGGAGGCGAGAATCCGCAGAGCCAGGGCAGGAACACTCCAGGTGGGCGGGCATTTGGAAAAGGCACAGGTCCCCCGAGGCAGCCTGGACAACTAGGCACTGACCACAGGCCCGATACCCCGGGTCCTGCCCTGCCAGAGATCAGGGAGGCTGGCTGCTGACCACATGCAAACAGGGACGCTCCCTGGTTCTCCCAAAGTCCCGAATAAGGAAGAGACGCTGTTTCCAGAGGAGGGGCCTGCCGGGCACAGGGGCTGCCGCAGCCTCAAGAGAGGAAGAGGGTGGCTGTGCCCCAGATGGTGTCACCTCAGGAGCCCGAGTACAGCCCTTCAGTACCCGCCTTCCAGACAAGCCTGCAAGTCCAAAGTGTGGCTCGGAAACAGGGCCAGCATCTGAAATCACAGAGCCCTGCCGCCTTCCTACTGCATGTGACCATGAGGGACAGGCAAATACATGCCCAGGCGTGGCCTGGGGCACCCCAGCACTTCCCCGCAGCCTCCATACCCAGGGGTTCCCGACTCAACACCAGAGAAAAGCACCTGGAGGTGGGGAGAATATGCCCCAATTCTCTAGGCAGCCCCTTCAGCGCCTCTAGCTCCCCCTGCTGGCTTCTGGGATGCAGCATGTCAATTCCAGACGGGGACCCTAAGCACCTCCACCTGTCAGGACTGGGGGACACTCTGCTCTCTCTGATTTTCAAGATAAAGAGTGAACCGCATGATGGCAGATAAGAGCCAATGGTGTGTTCACAGTTCTTGCTTATTCTTCTGAAGACGTTTTTCAGAACATCCGATGCCCCCCTTTTCTGGCCCTTCTCAGTGCGTGGCCAGGAACCAGTGCCCGGCGGGCGGGCAGCAGCCTAAGGCCTTCTGTGGAGCAGCCGGATGACCCGGACAGGAGGCCACAGCCCAAGCAGGTGCCTCAGGCCCCAGGACTGTGCGTGGCAAACGGCAGCCACATTTCTGAGTGTGTTTCCCAGAAGACTCGTGTTCCTCAAACATTAAAGCAACACATTCGGAAATAAAACACAGCAGCACATACACACAGTACGCCACGGTAAGACGGATCATTCCAGACTGCTCATGATGTACCGCGCCAGCACCCTAAGTAGGGGGAGAGCCTTTCCCGCCTTCTCCACACATGGTCAAAAAGTAGTTAATATGACTCAACGTGCTTTCTAGATTTTAAAACCACAGGCATGATAGTGAAACAGGCATGATAGGTGCTTCGTTAACTCAAGTCTGTGTTCATGTCCACGTACGTGTGCGAGCATAAGTGTGCACACTCATGTCCACATACATGTGTGCCTGTCAACACTCGTGTCCACATACATGTGCAGGCATGTGAGTGTGCACACTCATGTTCAGGTACGTGTGCAGCTGTGTGAAGGTGCACACTCATGTCTATACACCGAGCCAAAGCCAGAATCAGGATCAACAGGTAACACTAGACACTGCCCTAACAGAGTCAGGAAGATGACGAGCTGGCCCCCCACGCCACCAGTGCACGGCCAGGGGTGCCAATGATACTCCCACAAGAGAGAAGGGAAAGTCGTAACAACTGGAAAGGAGGAGGTGCAATCAAGAGACCCCCCCGTAAGAGTTCAGGAAGGTAATGGAGTAAAAACTTAACAGAGGACAGTCTACAGCTTCCCTGTATAGAAACAACCACCAGTTAGAAAACCCAGGAGAAGAAGAGACCCCAGGAGCACAGGCGGGGGCAGCAGGCGCGCAGTGGCCCAGGGACGGAGGCCCCGTGAGTGGCCGAAGCCACGCTGACAGGGCACAGGGAGGCCCGAGTCCACACTGTAGGTCAGCCAGAGTATGAAGGTGCTGATTTTCTTAATTAACCCACAGCTTCAGTGAATTCCAAATAGATCAAAACACAAAAAGCTGGAGTCATTTTTGTTAAAGTCCAATCGGCTGACTTGGAACATTCATATGGAAAATAAACAAGCACGAAGAACCAGAAACATTATTAACAAAAGCAAAAAGAGGGATTAGAATTAAAACGTCTCAGAGCAACGCGTCGCAGGACAGGGGGAACTGTCACAGGCTGCGGTAATGAAAACTGTGCAAGACCGCGTGACTGGACAGGCCAGCCCGCAAATTAGAACAAGTCCCAAACCAGGCCCCAAAACGGATAAGAATGTAACGTATGGAGAGGTGACATTCACACCGGTGATGGGTTAACAGGGTGTGACAACTAGGGAGCCAGCTAGAAACAGACTGGGCATGACCAGTGTTTCTTCTTTCTTTTTTAAATTGGGGAATTGGGAGAGGGGAACAGTGTTGGGGAATTGGGGGAAGGGACCAGCCAAGTTGTTGTCCTTCAGTCTTCATTGTGGAGGGCGCCAGTCGCCATCTGGCTTCCCGTCGGCAGCTCGTGGCCTCTAAGCTCAAGGTGCTGTGTTACAATCTTAGTTGTGGGTGGGCGTAGAGACCATCCCATGTTGGAGTCGAACCAGCAGCCTTATTAAGAGCGCACGCTCTATCCACTGAGCCATCCGGGCAGCAGCTCAACTCAAGGTACCGAGTTCAGTCTTAGTTGTGGGCGGGCATAGCCCACCATTGAACAGGCAGTCTTGCTGTTAGGAGCACATGCTCTATCCACTGAGCCATCCTGCCACCTGTTGGCAGCTCAGCGGCAGCTCAGCCCGGGCGCAGCGTCACTGGCCCATGTGAGAATCGAACTGGCGACCCTGTTGCTCAGAGCTCGCGCTCTTAAGCTGACTTTTAACCAACTGAGCACTCGGCCAGCCCCTACCACTGTGTTTCTTACACCAGAGTAAAATGCAGATGGATCAAAGATTTAAATGAGAAAATGAAGTCATGCAAGTAGTAGAAATGAGGGAAGAATTTTTTAAATACTGAAGTGGCAGTGTCTAACTCTGACTTTTCTCCCCTAAAAAGTCTGGCGGACTAAAACACTGAGACTTGACAAACTGGGAAAAACGTTTGCAACTTGGCAGGCAACGTGCTAATCCCCTCATACTATGAGGGGTTCCTGAAACTAAGACGTGCCTGCTTCTGGCTGTGGCACAAGCGCTGGCAACACAGCTCTGCCCATTTCAAACTCCTATGCGAGCTGAATAAAAAAGTGAAAATCACCCGACTAAAAACACTACTGGGCCTCTGAGCCATGAGGGGTGAGATCCCAAGACCAGCGGGAAGCACGGAGGCACCGCGGTCAGGGCGGGGTTCCCGAATGAAGGGTGAGGGCTCCCTGGCAGCCACGACGTGACGGGCTCTGCTCCTGGACAAGAGACAGGCGCCCTCATCCTGTGTGCAGCGCTCCCCCAAGGCACGTGCCAGCTGCCAGCCACAGCGAGACACAGAGAGCAGCTGCCAAGAGTACAGACGCTCAGCAGAGACTTGAGCTATCTGAGGGGGACGGCATTTAGCTGAGACCCTGGCTGGGCTGCACCCAGGAGTGAAGGCAAACCAGAAACAGGCTGCCTCAGGTGGAAACAGGCCTCTGTCTGCTAGAGGGAAGACAATGCCACGCAGAACCCCAGTGTCTCACACACGACATCCACAAGCTACCAGGCAAGCCAGGAGGCAGGGCCAAGTGACAGGAAACCAAGAAACCACAAAGGATCGGTATAAATAAATACTATCTGAAACAATAATGTGTTGTGGAGTTTAAAATATATGTAAAATTAAAGTACATACAAACAGTAGCACCAAAGGCCAGAGGAGGGTCCATGGACTTAAAATATCGTGGGGACCTTGCTTTGTCCGGGAAGTGGCAAATAACTAATTTACTGTCAACTCTAATAAGCCAAGGATTCAAATTAAACCGCCTTGTATAACTGCCCAAGAACAGAAATGTACTACCCCAGCTAACAGAGGAATAAAGGATAAATACTTAAAATGCTTGATCTATCCAAAAGGTAGCAAGAAAGAAAAAAATGGGAAAAAAAGAACAGATGGGACAAATAAAAAACAAAGAGTGAGACGGAAGCTTTAATCCCCCCAAAATCAGTAATTACATCAACTGTAAATAGTTTTAAATACTCCTATTAACAGGCTGGGTACAAACAAAACAAAAGCCGACTACATGCTATTATAAGAGACACACTTTAAATAGAGAGGCATAGCGAGATCAAAAGTAAAAGGATGAAAAAAGCCATACAGTGCAAATACAAACCCCAAACAAAGCTGGGTTAGCTGGGTATCAGACAAGACTGACTTTAAGGAGAGAAGCCTTTCCAAAGATAAAAAGGGACATTTCACAAGAGAAAGAGCCAGTTTAACAAGATACAGCCATCTTAAACTTGTATGTTCCTAATAACACAGCTCCAAAATAAAAGGCAAGAATAGCAGAAATAAACAAATCTACAATTACACTGGGAATTAGCATTCCTTTCTTGAATTGATAAACAAAAAGATTGAAAAGTCAGTGAGAATACATAAAGTCTGAACATGGTAGTTGGTGACTGGACCTAACCGTGTAGAGGACACTGCTCCCAATGACTACAGACGCCACCAGGATGGGCCACAGGCTAGGCCACAAAGCCAGTCTCAACGGATGCCAAAGGACCGAAATTCTTCCACGTGTGTCCTCCACCCACACAGGACAATGCTCGCAGACTATAAAAAAGATTACAAGGACATCCCCAAAGTTATAGAAATTTAAAGCAGCCATGAGTGGACGGAGAAGCGACAATGCCGGGAGCTGAGTGACAATGTTGTGTCCAATCTGCAGGGTGGGGCGGCCCAGCAGGAGGCCAGCGGGCTGCTGTCCAGGAAGCTGACAAGCCAACCCTACAGCTGAGTCAGAAATGCAAGGGCCAACGACGGAAAGCCAAGGCGGAGGACTTCCACTGCCTGACAGCAAGGCTTGTACGGTCACAGCCACCGGGACAGGGCAGCACTGGCCCAAGGAGGGACTGACTGTCACACCTGCACAGGGGACTGGTGACAGTGGTGCTGCTGCAGGGCAGTGAGGAAAGGAGGGAGCTGACCAGCCAAGGCCTCCTGGAGGACAGGACCCTCACCCCACCTCACACTAGTCAACTCCAGGCAGAGCACCGATCCAGATGGGAACAAGGAAATGAACACCTCTACGATGTGGCACAGGAGGCTATCTCCAGGGCCTGGGGATAAGCAAAGTCGTACATAAAAAGAACCCAGCGAAAGGAAAAGACCAAAACGCTGCATGACACTAAAATTAGGAACATCTGTTGATCAAAAGGTGTCTTTAAGGAAGTGAAAAGGCAGCCAAGAGAGAGAGAAAAACATTTGCAATATACATTTCTGAAAAAACACTTGTATCTAGAATCTTAAAAACTTCTACAAATCATAAGAAATAGACAACCCAATAGATTAAAAATGGGTAAGACGATGGGCCGGCCGAGTGGCGCGATGGTTAAAAACTCGCTTGGGATGCCAGAGGGCCTCGGTTCGGATCCAACATGAGGGTCAGTGACACTGCCCTCTACAGCTAAGATGCTGAACAACAGCTCAACCTGGAGCTGGGCTGCCGTGAGTCGCTGGCGACAGCGTAGGCTGCAGTCCCTGTGGCAGTGAGTTGCCATGGGCTACCGTATGTAGCCAGCAG